TTTTATTAAAACTGGCCGAAAACTGAACACACTTTGTTTCCTCGTTTTGGATCACACATTAATGCATGCATGCAAGATACTGTACTTTGCAAACTCATCTCCCTGTACGGATGTTGCAGAAATGTACGTGACGTAATGGATTTGTCAACTGAGCGGCACGAGGTAGTATCGTTGATGGCTCGTGCTGTACAGCTAAAAGAGTTGATTTGAAATTTACACAAGATCCAATTTTTTTTTAAGTCATTGGAATTCTTACTTATGAACCAAGTTTTTCTAAATTTAGAAAGTTTTCATTAGAAAATGAGCTTTTTACAATGGTTACTTTCCAGAAACCAATCCAGAACGAAAAGAGTGTTATCACTTTCGTTTATCCTGTACATCTGAATTAAAAGTTAAAAATTTGAATCTGATTTGGTGGTATCTCTATCACACAAGGTGGACGGTGACCACATATCTCTGGAATTTGAGGATTTTGTAGAGCTGCAATCTGACTGAATAATTTTTGCGATCTTGAACTGGTAAAACAACTGTGTTGTGTGAAGAGATCTCACTGGTCGAGTTGTCTCTCTGTCAAAGTTGAGTTGTCCAAATGGATGCCTTGGCAAAGGTTGCGTTGTCTCAATGGCCGAGTTGTCTCTGTGGTCGAGTTGTCTGAAGTCGAGTTTGCAAACGGTTGAGTTGTCTGACATCCTAATAGAGAGACCACATTTTTTAAAATAACGTCAAGCATTGACCTTTTCTGTTTGTCAATGTTTGCTGTACCCATTTTCCGGACACCCTCATAACCCTCGTGTGCTGGTTGCACTAACTAGCATGAGAGCATAGGCCTAGTCGCCACCCAAATCTGAATTTTGGCCTAAATCTTAACAATCATGTATTGTTGTTTTGTTTTCAGGTTATAAAAGATACTTTGATAAGTCTGCTTCCATTTCGACTTGGTCTTGGTTTATTTTTCCTTGTTGACTTGAAGATGTCTTTCTGATGATAAATTTAAGTCAGCCATGCTTAGATGGGGACTCTAGGGAAGCATATGTGTCAGTTTGCCATTACAGCAAATATACCTGTTGTCCTGAAAAATCAATATATTCCCCCCCCCCCTCCATTTTGCTGGAGGGGTATCAAAGTGTTTGCACCTATACTAAAAAGTATGCAGTTGATTTCCCCCCGTCCATTTTCCTAGAGGGATATCGAAAAGTTTGCACGCATACTAAAAAGTATGCAGTTGATAGCAACTGCACACTTTTTAGTATTGGCCTGGTGGTTAGCTTGCATCCTGCATGGGACCAAATCATATTTTGAGGGAGAGGGAAGTGTGGTTAGAGAAAAGCCTGCTCAAGTACGGTGTGGTTTTAGGCACGTGTGCACTGATACGCTTACACCGCATGGTCTGCGTCATTAAAAATAAGCGCATTATAATTTTTCGCCAGCTGCCCTAATTTCCCTAGGCAACAGAGTTTCACTGACCGCAAATTTGCCACAACAAATAACATCATTTTAAATAAGATTACACGCGGAAAACCCTATCTACCGCCTCTTCAAAACGATCTATGCTCATAGTGGAGTAAACCTGAAAAAGAAATTGCAACGCAACTGTTTCAGGACGTAGGAGGGATCAAACTTTGGATGACATGCGGTGCGCTGCTTCACGCCATTGCTTGAACTGTCAAAACAGCTCATTTGCATATGCATGATTGGTCAGAATAACCTGTGGTCAGAATAACCTGCTGTAATTGGTGATTCAGTTGGCAGACTATTTATCATAAAGTCTTTGACCCTTAACCCTATTCACCAAGCATATTGTTTGGCTTACAGTACTCAGTACTTCAAAATACTAAGTAATAGCCTGAGCCTGAAGGACCTAGCGCTACAGGTTACTACTTCTGGCTAGGTTACTTCCATTGTTACTCCTAGAGAGAACAATAAAGCCATGCACTCATAGTGTCAGAGCACTGTATGGTACATTGTCTTATCTATTTTATTTTATGGCTTCACAGAACAATAAGGTCATGTCCTCTTACAAGCGGCAGCACTGATTACGACATTTTACTACAAGTAGTAATCTGTAGTATTATGTAGGGTTAGGGTTAAAGAACAACTGATGAAGACATACAATCGTTCTTTGCTCTAGTGGCGACTATAGGGACGTGATGACTATACCATCACACGCGTTTATCATGAGGGGACGGTAGCCCCACACTAGGCATGCTAGGTCCAGTCTACTGGACTACTTCCGTTCCTTGGCTGTATGCCCATACTAGAAAAAGGTTGGGGGAGAGAATTCCATACACACTGCTATAGTATACGGACATGATGGATGCTACTTTGTCTACGTCTGTGATTCTAATTTTTCCCTGGAGTTAGGCCCCCCCAGGCCTAGGCGCTCTAGGCCTACATGTACCCTAAAAAGTCAAGTTTAGCAGGGAAAATATTGGAAACATGTTCAATGTACGGACAACTTTTAAAATGTTTTAAGCCTACCAGCTGTCAGAAAGTGTTAAAATAGCCTAAGTGAAATTTAGCTATTAATTTCTGAAGCATTTACTTTGAAGACACTTAGAGCATGTACGGTCTAGGTTTTTCAGACAAGTCTCATAGGTTTGTGCACAGGGCATCGAGTGTTGTTTGTATATTGAACTCTTTAAAAATATTGAGTTATTCACATAGAAAACATAGTATTTTTCAGACCAGTCCAGTTATGCTGTTATTTTCAACAAGCGTCCACACACACAAGTCGCATCAACAAAGTGTCAACAACTTGAAGATACCCTCTGAAGATTTAAAAAGTGGTTTTATCATATTTTAGAGACTCTAAGACCTGCTACTGTGTAAGAGAAACACTGAATTTTCTTCAAGATTCTCAGAGAAAAAGAAACATTTTTCCCGATGTATGGAGGCCGCCATCTTTCTTTACTCTGCCGTCCGTACAAAACCAAGATGATGGTCAAGCGGGTTGTACAAGCAGGCCCGACTTTGTTACTCTAATTTCTACACTTAAGTATCATTTCAGATAAATGTGACACATTGAATATGATATGTAGAAGCCTAATTAATATTATAAATGTAAAACTTTGCATAAATATGCTCGAATAATTTGTTGACACTTTGTTGACGCTCATTGACGCTTGTTGATACTAAATAGCATGACCTTAAAAACTCGTATTCATTGTGTATTCCTTCATTCTCATATGTATGCCGACTCTGTATTTGCTTAGCCGACTTGGAATATATTTCCCCAACAACTCTCATTCATTGTGAACTCCTTTGTCTCAAAAGCACCTGACTCTGTCATGTGCATAGCCTTGTAAGATACCCCTGCCATTTCACACCTACAGAGTACATGTTCTCGATGCCTACCCCCAGGACTGTGGGCTTTGTTGTCTACCATTGGCGAACGACAAATCCCACAGTTCTTGGGGTACTCAATTCAGCCTTTAGCCAACAATTCTGAAGGGTAGATTTTGAGTGGCGGGGTAAGCAGCAATTACTCTAAGGTTAGTTCAAGCCCCATGCCTCTCATACTGCATCATTCCCCTTTACCGTGGGGTTAGTCATACCAGAGCTTTGGTGGCTCGTCACCCCCATTGCCTGAGCAAACTTTGTGGGAATGCACTGTGCATGACGAACCCCATCATTCTAAGGTATCAATCAAGCAGTTCATTAAATGGCCTGAACTGCAATTGCTCGACAGTGTCTGTGTGTGAAATTTTGGTCTCCGTTTGTTGCTTGAGTGTCTGAACCTACGTGCGAAATATGGGGCTCATTCGAACCTTTTCGCAAAAGCCCCACTGTTTTGTTGAGTTTGGGCATAGGGCCAAGGATATGAAGGTCGTCCATTTGATTGGCCCTAGTCTGGGGCTGGAGGACAAAAAAATCAGTATCTTCTTTGCAAGTGAACATACACAGAACAGTGATTGTGGAGAAGTAAACACTAGGCCTGTCTTTGGTTGTGAGGAAAAAAAATTCTGTTGCTTCAAAACACACCCTTCTCTACCCCCATGGGGTTCACCGAGGGGGACCTAAGAAACCCCATAGTTAGGGTAACTGTCCTACATGTCTCTGAGTCTTACTCAGGTTATGAACGAATTTTTATTGACTTAGTAGATCAGAATTTCAAACAGCACTTTGGGAAAAAATGAGACATTATTACACATACATGGTTTTTTCAGAAGGGACCATGTGAATGGTTACAGTGCACTTGTGTTTGCAGGACCGAAGCTGCCATTTCATTACCCCTACAGCTACAGGGCATTGAGAGGTAAAGTAACGAGCCCCATCAGCCCTTTAGAGGTATGGCAGTCACAATAGGAGGGCACTATTGAAGTGGGTAAATTTGGGGAAAACGCAAAAGCTTTTAGCCAAACAAGAGAGCATCCTCCTATTGTGCCCGCCATGCTTCTAAAAGGCTAATAATTCTAGGGCTATCATTCCAAGTGGCAATTTACAACCGTGAAGTGCACGATCATTGCACTGTGAATGAAAGGCCCGGACAGGTCTAGTTCACAGACATATTCAGGACTTAAGGATTCGGGAGCAATCCGTCAATGTGGATCTGCACTAGGATCTACCGTTTTCAAGAAATATGTGAATTCCAAGAAATTGTGGGAAAAGAACATTTGAGCCTGAAATGAACATACTACCATCTTCTTATTCCTCCATGGTTTATCAGTATTTCTGACAGGTTGCGCAGTGGTTGCGCGCTACTCAGAGTCACTCATATGGAAATGGCTCCAACCATTTTACATGTGAAAGATTGGGATTATAGAGCATAACCTTTCACAAGTACCAATAAAGTGTGGAGGAACAGGAGCGAACCTAAATGGTTGTTTAGGGCAACAGTTTTCCTCCGTCAAATTTCTTGGAAATGACAGGCTCTGTTGCCAACCAACTGAAAATGGCCTAAGCAAGGTGGTGTATTCCACTGCACATCTACCGGTATGAGTCCAGCTAGACCAGTAAAAGCATGCCACAACGCTTTGACTACATGAATCTCCCCCTTTAAGGTTTTTCTCCAGGACACGTCAGAGACAATTGGACATCCGAAGGTTGACGCAGTCCCCTCCCATGTCAATTGGCGGCAGGGCTGCTGAGATCCCGCCCCGTCACCATGTCTGTGTACCATGAACGACAAAAGTGGGAGCTGTGCGCCTTACACGCTCTCAATAATGTGTTCCAAGACAGCCAGGCCTTCAGCAAACAAGTCCTGGATGAGTTGTGTCAGAAGTAAGAAAGATATTTAATCATCCTCAAACAACAACGCTGACAAATCTGTGTCTCATCTCTTTGAGATATTGTTGCTAAGGAAAGTACTGTTGGATCTCTGCAGTCTTGTTGAAGCAACATGTTTGAATGTGAGACGCTTGTCAGAATGTTTGAGTGTGAGATACTTGTCAGAATGTTTGAATGTGAGACACTCGTCAAAATGTTTGAGTGTGAGACGCTTGTCAAAATGTTTGAATGTGAGACACTTGTCAAAATGTTTGAATGTGAGACGCTTGTCAAAATGTTTGAATGTGAGACGCTTGTCAAAATGTTTCAATGTGAGACACTTGTCAGAATGTTTCAATGTGAGACACTTGTCAGAATGTTGAAATGTGAGACACTTTTCAAAATGTTTGAATGTGAGACACTTGTGAAAATGTTTGAATGTGAGACAAAATACGTTCAGTTGTGGAACAGCAGGAATAAGTAGCAAATTACCGACAAAATGGATAATATATTTATAACCAAACTGCTGATTACCAGTAGAAAGGGAACATTTAAACTGGATCATTGACAAACAACAATTTACTAATTATGTTCCTGATTCAAGTTACTACCAAAGTTTAAACCAAGATATAAGAAGAGTCCAAACTATCCTGTTAATAGACCAATTGCACCTGCCAAGTCACATGATCTATAGTAGGTATCAAACATCAACAAACCCCATAGCAAAGTGCATTGTAAGTGTTGTTTACCAAAACTGAAGCCGGTTTTTGATAAAGTACCCAGCACATCAGTAATCTTTATATTGTATCGACTGCCAGCTTTCTTTTTGATAAATGATTCTTATGAAACTATTTGCTGTGGGAGGACGCTATGTTTGTTGATGTTTAATACTCTCTGTAGATCCCATGTTTTAGCGGTTGCAATCGATCTATTAAAATGCTTTCATTGTATTAAAAGAGAATGTTCCAGTGTGCCATGTGCAGGGTGACCGGAACCTTTGTAAGTACTTCCTGTCTCAATCAGAATTTTATGTTTGTGGGATTTGAATCCTGAAGCAACAACCTTATCAGTGTGGCATTTATGAGAAAGTTATCGTATCGAACATCTCCCATATGATGAAATTCTTTCCACAGGAAACCACCAAGAAGTCTCCACTGCTTTATCTGACACTGGCTGAAATTCAACTGGTTTCCTCCTTTCCATTATTTGCATTGTCTTTCAGTCTCTCCCCCGGTACGGTCTTGAATCCGCACAAGAGCATGCTGGGATTGGGTAACTATGACGTCAACGTCATCATGGCCGCCTTGCAGCACAAGGACTGCGAGGCTGTGTGGTGGGATAAACGAAGGTAGCAATTTCCATTCCCTTGGCTCCAAATTCACTTGTGCCCTGCCACCAGTCCTATCGATTCCTAGCAAATGCTTGCCCCGGTGTAACCCTAGTTCCCAGCCGTTTTGGCCAGTGAAAGGCAACCATACAACTGATTTCTTGTGTATCTACGAGCATGCATAGCATCAGATAAGATTAATTCCAGAAATTACCTGTAGAGGTCCAAAAGTGTGACATTTTTGTGTCCCTGTTACATCTGACTTTCGTTATTTGACATGGAAATATCACCGGAATTGATTTCAACCTATTGCTATTTGTTGGGCAGGTAGTTTGCATTAATTTATCACTCTTGAAAATTAGAAAATGTGTTTTGAACTTACAAAATCATGTCAGATGTGACAGGGACACACAAAAAAATGGACCCTAATTTCTGGAATTAGCCATGACCTCAATATGCTGGATGACATGTATACATGTAGGGCTTTTCTGTGCCGGCTACATGGGGAACATGTAAATATGATGTAGCATTTTCTGTATGTGGTAGAAGATGTTGGCTGTGATCATTCCCACACTTGAGTGATTCCAAGTGTGTTTCTACTCACCCTGAGGCTCCATCTTGTCCATGGAGATTGAATGTGTAGAGAGCCCTCAAGTGGGCGTGGATCCTGGTTGGGCATTGTAGCAGGTATTGCTCTGTGACATTGTTTGAAATAGTGCCACAAATCTTGTGCAAAAGACTGCCGAGGGTTGGCATTTGTAAAACCCAATTTTGCATTATAAAAACCCAGCATTCGGGGCTGGAAATTATTGAAGAATAACCTGATTAATGCTGTATTTGAATGTTGCGGAATCCTGAAAGTATGATGTAAAAGGTGTCATGTGTTTGTGTGTAACAGTTGCTTTTCTACTCACTCGGAATTCACAGAGGTTTGGAAGAACTGCGACTGGAAGCTCCGATTGGATTCATTGTCAACATTCCCTCGCCCATGCAGCTGGGCTTCGTCAGCGTTCCCATCCGCCGTAAGCACTGGATTGCCGTCCGTCAGATTGACGGCACCTACTACAACTTGGACTCCAAATTGAGCAAGCCCGCCAAGATTGGCGACTCCTCCAAGCTGAGGAGTTTCCTGGAGGCAGAGCTGAGGCGGAAAGGCTGCGAACTCTTGCTCGTGGTGACCAAGGAGGTCGCGGAGGGCAAAACGTGGCTGCGGGGCGAAGCGAGTTAGTGACCAAACCAATTTGAAGAGTCGTTTGCGGCATTCCCCCCCCCAAAAAGGAAAAGTACAGGGAGTCCAGGCTTAACTAAACATCTGACCCTTCCCCTCTGTTTCCACTGATGCAGGCTATTAGTACATGTTGATCATTTTTCAGTAAGTTGTAGAGAATGTTTTGACTCGTGCTTTCTTAAATGCTATGAGAAATGTCAAAATGGACAACAGCAAAAAAATCAGACCAAACAATTCCAATTTTGTCAGGCTCAAAGGGAGTCAAGTTTGCTCATGTTTTTCAAGATCCCAGAAACAGTTATTGGGTTGAGAAGCAAAGTGAATCGTCAGAATGACAAACTAGCTGGATGAAAGGTGGTCTGCTGAAATTTTTTTTTGTGTGTGTGAAAGTTTGATTTGTGATTGTGGACACTCCAGTGCAGAGGTCATTCAAGTATCAAAGGTTAAAGGTCAGTGAACTGTGAAGTGACCCTTGCTTCTTTAGACCAAATAACACCTGCATGCAAGACAATCACAAAAATATTTTGTGGGGCCCTTCATGATGATTTCAAGTCAGCAAGTCTGAGGAGAAATTTGAATGGTTGATAGCCGTGGAAATGGTCTGGTATCCTGTTGCATTACTTTGCAGTAACTGTTGGTATTCTTTTCTTTTTATAGGAAGCATTCGTTATCATAGAAAAGAAACCCATCTTGCCCAGTGAAAACAAAACTGGATGCCAGTTAACTTTGAGACAGTCAAACCTGCCAACCACTCCAATTTAATTGGGACTGTCCTGATTTGTAAGTTTTCCGACTGCAAGAAATTGTAATATTCCAAATTTCTTGAAAAAGAAAAAAAAACAAATTGAAAACTCCCGGCAAATGCAGGTGTTATTGCAGAAAACAAGAGTGCGTTACTTGCTATTTCAAAATGGCAGTTGTAATACATACATATGCGTGTTCATGCACAAGTAGCTCCTCTTGCGCAGCCACTTGTTTTGCTGTTGGCTCTTTTCAATGTTGGCAGGTATGGATAGAAAGCTGAAAGCTTGCTAGTAAGCTTGCAAGGTTTACAAGGTGTTAGGGGGATAACCTTGCCCCTGCCCAAGGCATGACCCCCCATCCACCCAGTCCAGCTTCAAATTCTAGCGTTGAAGAGTCGTACTGTACTTGTATATACAGGATGTTTCAAAAAAGTAAACATTTTAGAAGATTGCCTACAAAATAAAAGTTCTATTAGTTTCCAGAAATCTTTTATCATGTATCGATAGACCAAGGTTTCTTGTTTTGTTTGCCATCATATCAATTATCAGCCATTCTGCATGAGCGAGCACGGGCAATTTACTTTTTTCAACTTTAAATTGGCTTACGCACAGAGGTGAAAGGGTTAAAACAGAATTACAGACTGTGGTTGAAAAGTTTGAGTCCAATACCTGATTGAAGATTTCTGGAAACTAATAAAACTTTTGTTTTGTAGACAATTTATAAATGTATGCTTGTTTGAAACATCCTGTATTGCTGGTTTTCCATGTCAGCATCAGAAATGCAATGAATCTGTTTTGTGTGGATCAGTTTTGTGTCAGTTATAAATACAGATGTACACTTCTTGAGTCCTCCAGTATACCCGTAGTATTAGCAATCTGTTTTTCTGCTGAAATTGTTATGGCCAAGTTCTTTTGATTTTGTTGCCCATTTACTAAGTAAGCTCATGTTGTTTAGCTGAAATTTTGTGGTTGATTGTACGCTTGTAAAGATTTAGTCATATCCTACACCTAGATTGTTATATCGGTCATTGAAAATTTCTAGATTGGGCTGTCAAATTTCTTGTGAATGAGTGTTTTCAAATTTGGAGCTCAATCAACATATATCAATATATCCATATTTTGGGTTGCAAGGAACAGCCTCATTTTTCTGCAATTGTATTTTATATTCACAAGATGGACAGTTTACGAAGATTAAAGTAAACTGATATGCAAGACCAAAACTTTTTTTTTGCGGTGAATTGAAATTTTTTCTGGTCATGCAGGCAAGTTGAAATCAGGTGTAGCAAATGCATTTATTTTAACACAGTTTGATACCAAAGTGATGTGTGAAGGAATTGAATTACTTCAAATTGTAATACCCAGTGCGTTTCCTTTGTTTTAGTCTATTACTAGGCATTGTTTTGGGTGAATCCGTAAATTTATTTGCTGGATTTGAGGAGCAAATCATAAGTGTACTTTTATTCTGAATGAAATTGATGGAAATACTAATTTCTATTTACTGTGAGAGTCAAACTGTTAAAGTTTGTAGCATGATACTGATCTTATTTTTTTTTTCCCCTTCAAACAATGGTATTATATTTTGCTCCGGCCCATCTGAAGAAGAGACCACAATTGATAATTCATATCATGAATGAGGTCGGATAAATGTAACAAAGCAGTTATACTGGTGTCGTCCACTCTATTTGCTTACATTTGGATAAGTTGATCGTACGAATCTGCATTTTCTGATATTGTTAAACTCAAAACTTAGTCATTTGCAATCAATGACATATTTATTTGCATATGTAAAGGAAGAACTTGTAAATTGATGTACCAGCACCTGTAATTGCTCTTTAATATATTTTGTCAGAAATTATGAGTATAATTACAGGTATTGATTAATCACTTTAATATGTAAATGAACATTTGTAATTATGTAGATTGATGGAGTTATGATATATTTATGAATACAAAATTGTACAATTTAGAATTTTTTCTTACTTTTTTTCTTTTTCTGGGTAATATCTAGACACTACTGCAGTGTGTATGCATCTTAATCAGTTCGTCAACCAGTACGGTTGTTCTGACTCAAGTAGCATAGGCCATGCTCACTTCATTTTCATGTATGCCCATTCCATAGTTGTGGATTGAATTCCGAGACAAATTTTGTTCCTGGAAACTTGCTCTCAAATCTCCTTACAAAAGAAATTGTTCCCACAATGTGGTAATGGCCTTGGCACAAATGCATATGTAACTCGCTCTGCAGGAGTGCAAAGCAGGGATGGCATTTTGACGGGTTAATTGTTCGTACTAGTTTTATGATGGTGACGGTGATGGGGGGACGGTGTGGCTACTGTTACTGTGTTGAGGTCCGTCAACCATGGCCACACCCCGTGGGGTATTACCCTTTAATTTTTAAAAACTAACCGAGCCACTGTATGTTACATGCAACATTTGCATAAAAGGTGAAACAAATTATCATTGGAAACATGCTTGAGCATCTCCCGCCCACCGGGGAGGGAATCTGTAACGGAAAACAGTCTAGAGTCAGAAAAGAATGTACTCACAATTAACGTTCATCATTGTTATTATAGATTTTGAGTGATTTGGTTGTGTCATGTGGCTTGTGCTATGATATTCAGAAACAAAAGTAGCCAGTGTTTCCCCTTTTTGGTGTTTCTGGGTTTTCAATTTGTTTGTTGTTTGTTTGTTTGTTGGGGTATTAGTTTGTTTTTTTAATGTAATGGTGTTCTTTGTCCCCATCTGAAATGAAATAGGATCCTTCAGAATGTGTTTTACTTGCCCTTAAATGGTTCAACAATATTTTGTAAAATATCTTTTGATGTTATGTGTCACATGTACTGTAAAGTCTTGCTTTGTTTTGTTTAATTTTGATAACAGTAATTTCTGTACTTTATTTATTGGTAGATATCAGCACTGTTTTTCTTCAATAAAATCATCCAATGAATAAAATCATTGGTGAGTTGTGTACGTCAGTATTTTCATACTTTCAGATAAATTGCGAGGTATTGTAGAAGAGCATGATTTAAACCCAACCTGCAACTGACGCGAGTTTGTTACTGCCAGTTTTGACACAGCCAAAGGTCAATGAAATACATATTTTCAGTGTTTCGACACATTAATTGAAAGGAATCTAGTCAAAATGAAAAAAGAATTAGACGACTTTATAATCTTACTTCCCCCTTAGAAATGCTGAGTTTCGTGGATGTGGCAAAGTTCGAGACCAACTTCAGGAGTGAAAAAATTATTCTATGCTTTGAGATCGTAAGCATGATCTGACGTCCCGCCTGCAGACCGACCCCATGGAGAACGGGTAGCGTTTTTCAAAAGACAGAGGGCGCTGTGAAACAGAACCATGATATTGTGTGTACAAATATCGTGCAGCGTGTGTTCGTATCTGTTCCTTGCTCTATGATCATGCCGGTTATATTCAGCCCGCAACTCCAGGGGCGCGGCATTAGGACTGGGACTTGTGTAAACAGTCGAAAGTGCAGCGGGTCAAAAGATCTCCCATGCCTTGTCAGGATTCAAGTCCGAGGATCAATAGCATTCGTGACGAGAGCGTGGAGCCAAGCCCTTTCGCCTATGCAGTAGCCTACAAGGACAGACTGCAACAAAAGTCTCGCAATAGGCTACATGTACATGCAAGACCTACTGAACTTCAACACAACAGCAGAAGGAGCTCCCGCGGGCTGAGCAGTGTTGGTGGTCGGTTCCCGGTCCATAGTACGAGCCCAAGAGAAGGGCTCTGAACAAGGTCCACTGTCCGGTCGGGACGTCAGTATACTTTTGTGCACGCTACTTTATCGCGGTAGGCCCATTATAAATCTGACAGTGACACACAGATCCTTGTCATTTTCAGTTGTCGTACTCCTAAGCTCGTGCTTTAACTTTGGTGTTGCCGATTGTTTGTTCCTTATAAGCGTAGCCTACTTCCAGAATTGTAAGGTTTATAATTATACAAACCTTGGAGATAGCCATGTAGGCATACTAACTCCCATTTTTGGCTGTTTTGATTGTGACAACTTACTCTTCCATCAGACCAATTTGTGCAACATGCCTTCCTGGTGAAGTTTGATGTCAGATGGGGAGGTCCATTCACCTTAGATCCTCAATAAAATGGTGAAATTCTGGAGCATATGATTTGGCCCATCCACACTACAGAAAATCAGCAGCATCTCTAAGCATGTATGTACTCTCAGTAACTTTCAGCTGTTTGACAGCTTGACCAATCCCAACACAGCTCCTGTCTTTCCCTTTTGTTTTCCTGTCACCCACTGATGAAAGCACACTTTGGTCCAATTTGCTTCCATTCCAGTGACCAATCATAGCCCAGCTTTCATTTGGACGAGGGTCAAGAAAACAAAAGAAAAAGCTGTCAAACAATTGACAGGTATTGAGAGTGTATGCTAAGTGATGCTGATTTTCTGTAGTGTGGATGAGCAAAATGCTTAAGAATATAAGGTGAATAGACCTCCCCATCTGACATTTAGCTTCACCAGGAAGGCATGTATGAAATTTGGTGTTTATGGGAGTTAGTACATGGCTATCTAGAAGGTTTGTGTAAACCTAACAGTTCTGGAAGTAAGCGTAGCCTAACTTCTACAACTGCAGGGAAGATGATGGATTTTATTTTTTTCCAGCAATAACCACAAGTCTAGTATGGTTGGAAAGAGCAGCTCAAGAGAAGTTCATTGGTGTGATAAATCACCTTCATAGCTTGTAATGTAGTGGAGTCATAAAGGTTTGAAATATACCGGTAAGGACATACATGTATGTGTCTGTCGCGTACGTTTCGTTCACATTTATTCCTCTGAATAGAATTAAACTGACATCCTTTTATTAGTTTCCCAGCATAGACCTACCATCACCAAAACGATGGCCTGTAAATACTGTCAGTCATTCTAGAATGACCTTTGCGGCCAATAAATGGCCACATCTTATGAATTTCAAGACCAACTAACCTCTGTTGAAGTGTTTTGTACATAGGTATACTGCTGTGCAAATAATTTTGAAGTGGTGTGATTGAAAACCTAAAAGTGAAAACAAATCCAAATACTTCCCTTATTAGGTCTAGCTGCATAAATTTCCATTATGTGATTGTTTAAGTTTATTACATTTATATCAAGGATTTCCAAAATGAAAGGAAAAAGTTGTGGAGTTTGTCTATTTTACATGTATGTGTCACTCATAAAAAAATTTAACTGTATGAAAACAGAAAAAATATACGTGTGTGCTTGTATACATGCACAACACGCCATTAAGATTGTCTATGCTTGCAAAATAGACCATGTTAAAAAAGATATACCCCCAACAAGCCACACTCCGGATCCGTATGATTCCCAGGTCCAAGTTTTACTGTTTATAACGCTATGGGATTTTGAATGTGCCCAGTTATTTCGCCTGAGACTGCATTTTCTCAATCAAATTTACTCCCAAATGATTTGTGGACTACACTACTTTTATGTACCTCTCCTCCGTAATGGGCTTTTTTTACGATTTTCGTGACAATTTTTGTCAGTTTTCCTATGAAAATTGGTGGCATTAAGTTGTGTGATTTTGACACGTTTTATCAGTGAAATTACCTGTGAAAATTTGAAAACTTTGGTATCAGTCGAAAGCTCAGAACATTGCATAAAAGCAACTTAGAGGGCATTTATCAGAAGGGGAAGCGAACTGAAAAGTCAAAGGTTTTTGAGGATTATTTCGAAAAATGGTGTCCCCTTGTGAAGCCGCCACCACCTGACTCCGAAGCTCTCTGACTCATTGTTCTCTCCGATTTATTTTTTGGGTGTTAGACAGCAATTTAGTCCAAACTAATAACACATTTTGAAAGAGAACGTTCTTGGCTAGAAGAGGATCACAAATCGTCGTGTGCCCGGCAGAAGGGCGTAAGCGCTTAGGCCCTTTTTGCCGGGAAGCATGATCACTGCAAAAAACTTTTCCCGGCAAAAGGATGAAAGTATGCAACTATTGTATTTTAATGAAATATGAAGATTTCTTGGCAAAAAATTTGTATAAAATGCTGAAGTCCTTTAATAAATTGTTCAAAAGTTGCTTTTTGTACAGCCCAGGTTGATTTTGTTGTAAATTATATCCAATTTTACTAAATAAAGACAGTGTGTTTCTTACGCCCTTTTGCCAGGAACATTTTTCTGCTGTGATCATGCTTCCTGGCAAAAGGGCCTAACTGAATACAGATGCAGATATGTAAATAGCTATACAAAAGCCGTACAAAATTCTGAGCTTTACGTAGGTTTGTGCACTGACATGGATGCGCCCAGCAGGCATCTTTTTGTACATGAGTCATCATCACTTCAGTTTTTATATATTCCTGGCCTAGTGCCATATGGTCAAATTCAATAGTAATTGAATATGTCATGGTGCAGTAAATTCTAACAAAATGAATAGAGGAAGAAAAAAAAACCTGCCTAATCAGTCATGTCAGTCCGAAGTCATCAGTCCTACAGTTTGAGCATAATTTCTCACTCACCCTTGGTGATCAGACGATGAAGCACTGCTGTTTTTTTTCTTTATTTATAGTTTCCAGAGAAGTTTACGGACTATGAGTATGCTGTTTTTTTTTAACGATTTGTTGAACAACTTGAATCTATTCGTTAAAAGATCTGCACAGTGAATCTTTTCCTACACTCGCTTTTTGTGCATCGTTACACTCTGGATTGGACCAGTAAATATGCACATGTGTGCAGCTCGGGACTCTACAATTTACCGCAACTCTGGTTGTCTTAGTCTCTTTTTTTCCCAGTGTTTATTCTGCTTGTTATGTATTTAAAAAATATCAGAAAGCAAACAAACAAACATAACAAACAACACTCACAACAAGAAGTTATATGAAGTACCAGTAAGTGTTTTTAAACAGAACCCTGGTAAGAGTTCCATATACAACATCACTGATCTAGCCTAAAGTGGTACATGTATATATCAACCATTAGATACTGGTGACGTGTCCTAAAATGTCCAATTTAGCAGGTGAAATATGAAAGTGTTTACTTAGAAAATACTTCAAAAATTTCATACCAGTCTGGTAGGGTTTGTGCCCAGGGTGTCAAGTGATGTCCATGCATGAATCTTGTTCGCAAACCCTGTTTTGAAGTTTAATTTTGATAAAATACTGTTTCTTTTGGAAGTATGCATGTCACTCATACATGTAGCTTGTAAGAGGAAATTCCAAAGCAAATTAGCATACCAGTTACACACATGCTTGGTAAAGTACTGTAACCAGAATGACAAGTCTTTATTACATGTACCTCAAGAAACAACAAGTTGGTGTTGCCATGGTAACATGAAACAGACCTTTTAATAACAAACATTGCCTACCATTTATTGATTAGCAACTGCTTTTACCTCAAAATGTACATTCACCCCAATAGTTCTAGTACAGTAAATGTGGTGTTTTGGTGTGCAGTAAACAACGTATTGTGGTATTGCATAGCAGCAGTCTTTCTGGTAAAAAATCAGAGCTTTTGCTCCACAGGGGTATACACATGCGTAGACCTTTTGTACAAGTATTCCCCCCCTAACAAGTAGTTACCTTAAAGATGGCTGTCATGCAAAACCTCTGTTGACAGTCAGCCATGCATGTGGTGGGGAGTCACTGGAAGGTAATTAAAAGGCAACAGATACATGTAGGTCTATGTGAAAAGACCTGTGGTGATCTCATACATACAGTCATTCTACTAAGGGTTGATTTTGGGGGGAGGGGAGGGGGGAACTGCCATCTCCCTCCCCCCCCAAAAAAATAAGATTAGAGCCGAAATATTCGGTCAAAATGTTGGTTCTGGATCTGTCCTTGATTTTTTTCTGATCACTGGACCAATGGCAGCATGGCTTTAAAAATGAAATTTAACCCTGAACTGGTTAAGGGTGAAATTTTCTCTCAGAATTCCTGTTGAAGAAGTCAGCAAGACATACACGTAGTGCTGAATTGAAAATTGATGATTAGATGTACGCAAGATGAGCTGAACATTTGTCATTTATCCATTGCTGAAGTGGTATAAAGAAACCCCTTGATGGATATTCTAAGCAATCCCAACAAGAGCATTACCAAATCAGTTAAATACCATAGTCCATTATATTTGTATGTCTTTGTTCTAAATATATATATTAAAGCCAATTTATTCCCACGAGGTCAAATATAACATGCCCTAAATGTCCAAAGTGCAATTCCAGCATTCTGCTCAATGTTTTTTGCTGTCTTTTTAAAAGGCACCTCCAGAGATCGTGTCAAACCAACTTTTTGCAAGTTTGCAAAAAGACACTCTGCATTTAATGTGAAGTTTTGATTATAAATCACCCATTTCTTTCACTTTGCAAGGTGGTTGGTTTGATCTTCTAGTATACTCATCATGGCTTGGATGCAGAGGTTGACCTCCTATGGACTTGGTCCAGCAAGATGTAGATTATTGATTGGTCATGTCCATGGGAGTGTGCTCCGAGGTATGTACACTTGTCAAGGTTTTGAAGCTATGTGATGAGATTAATAACTTAACTCTTAATGAGCACTGTCAGAGAATTCACAAGAATTACAGAGAATCTGCACACTGTGTCTGTCTGTTACCATAGAGCTAGGAATGTCTTCCCAGTGATATTTTGGGGACAAAGGTCATAGGGGAACAGAAATGTGTGCTCAAAGTTCGCCCTATTAGTACAGTCATATGTATACCCCAATTCGACTTGTACGCATGCCTTTGTTCTTAAATGACCTTTCCTTTTGATATACCAAACTTGCTCGTTAACTGATTCCCTGGGCTATGGTGCGGGCACACTAAAGGGGGGGGGGTTTCCCAGATCTCAGATATTAAGTACATTTGTTTGGGTTCCTGTGGTCCCGCCGGCCTCCACTGTGGAGTTTTAAGTTTAAAGTAAAAAAGTCATGTTTGTTGCGGGAACATCAAATTGACTTATGCCATTGATCTAAAGATGGAAGCATTTTTTGAATATTGAGGCTGAAAAGTGCTTCCACTGTCAGAGACAAAGCCTGAAATAGAGATGGAGTCAAGATTGGGAAAAACCCTGAAATGCATACCACCCATGGCACTTAACTTTTATGCACATTCAACTGAAAATAACTTGTACATCCACCATGCCACACACATGCAAACCAGTGCAGGCATGCGATGAGGCCTCTAGCTTTTGTGTACCAGACCGCAAGGCACTATCACCATTTACGATAGGCCCGTGACCTGACAATGGGACAATGAATTCAAATTAACGCGCTACTGGTAGCTGTCCAAAGACAGCCTTTACCTAATATATTCGATATTGCCATGAACCAGGATTACATCTGCCTGCCATTCACATCTCTGATTGGACCGTGCAACTGCGCAGTATGCAGGTTGATATTACGGCATGAAATTCTAAGGATAAAACTTAAAGGAACCAGGAAATAGAAAAATTTTTATAAATTTTATTGAAAACCCTTGAAATTGCTTCTTGGGGTTTCAATTAACCTGATTTTAAATGTTTGTTTTGCAATTTTAACCAATATTTTGATGCTTATTTGGTTTTTATGCTAATGCCTATTCATGAGTAGAACTATGATGTCATCCAAGGCACCGAATCTCAATGTTGCACTGATTTGTGCACAGAAAATTTCTAGTTTTTTTTTAACCACTGTTATGGCAGATTTCATTTTCTTTTGCAATTTATTGCTGTGTAAGTATATAGCAATAATCCAGCTAAAATCCTTTTCACAGAAATGTTCCCAGATAGCAAATTTGGGGTTCACAATTTGAACATGGAAACATGCATCCTGAACCATGTCTTCTTGGATTTACATCAAAGCAAAAGCGCCCTCACTTGTCCAGAAAGGCTTTGTCAATTTTTAATGTTTGAAAAAGTGCACCGTTCAGTTCACGTAACTCAAAAAAGATGTCAAACAGTCTTCATACATGGAAGAAGAGCACAGAGATACACAAAAAGTGATTCGAAGAAAAATTCAATTCTGGATCCTTTAAGTGAATAAACATACATGATACAGGAAGGAACGAGTATAGAGTGTTTTGTGAGGCCTGATTGATGTTACACGCCCCATGTCTGCCAGCCCTCTTTCTCAACCAATAACTCAAATAAGCCAGGGTGTAATGTCAGTTTGAACATATACCATAGTAGCATATGTCTGCTTTGAATTACATGTACCATTGCATTTAAACCATTTTAAACACTGTCCTGTTATTTTCATTACATTTTTGTAGGATTTGGTACAAGTTCCGTGAATGCTGCTGTCAAAAAACTTGTGCCCAATGAGTATGATGAACCATGCGTCAAGACGCCCATTCCAGGCCCAAGATCATTGGTAATAATTCATCAATACTTTACCTAATTCATTGAACTGAAGCAGATCCATCTTTAAACTTTTTTCCTGTATACCCCCAAATACATTTTGACTAACTGGGCTGTGGATTTTACTTCCTGCCAATTTTAAAGTATATTGGAAATAGAGTAAGTAGGATATAGAGACTTTGCACGATGGCCATCTTGGAGGTGCATGCTTCAGTTCCACCGGAATATGCACTAGTAGCTAATTGCTACTTGATTAAAACTTAATACTTCCAAGATGGCTGCTGCTTGCCAAGAGTAAGTCCTGCAGGTGTTATTTGAATCTTATTACCTGGGGCTTCACCATGCCTTTGACCCTTTTGCGCAATGCAATACAATGATGTTCCTTTGTTAGCCTTTACCTTGCGGTTTTGTAACGAGGAATTATCAAGTTGCCTGGAGCATTATTGAACACCATTGATTAGTTGTCCCTTTGGTGAAAAGGTCAGTCCAAAGATTTCTTTTGACAATTGTAGTCTGTACTGTAAACCGGTTTCTGAAGGTTTAACTCATGCTCTGATGGTGTTAGGCTAGTAATTCACTGTTATCTCTTTTCGTTCTCTATTTTAGGAACTTATAAAGAATTTGGACGACATCACAAAGGTGAATACCAACATGACGGAATCTGTGGACCATCAGAGAGTTTAATGGCATAGGTTTTAATACCTACAACTTTTAAAATAGTGGTTTAGCAGGATTGCATGGAATTAAACCACTCTTTTAATGTAACCCCGGGGTTGTGCATTTATGGCTAGCACAGGGAAATGGGTATGTCATAAAGGGAATTCTAGGCAGTCAGGCACCTGTAACATATTCTCAAATATTAAGAAAAAATGAGAAGGGGGCAGCTTGAAAATTACATTAATTCAGTTTTCTCTGAAATGCTCCTTATTGACTTTCACACATAATAAAATGGTTAGTAATGCACTGCTGTCCTTATGTCTACATTGTTGATGCTGAATGAGAGTGCATGAACTATCATTAACATTAACTTAAATGCACATGTACTGATTTTCATTTCAAACTTCACTACAAAAACTTTTTCACAGCCTTAATTAAGGGTTACTAAGTAATGTGTGATGTTGATTATGAGTGGTCCCACAATTCGGAACTGGTTCTGGACAAACTTGTTGCGCACTTGGGTACTCGGTCTCGTGTACGGCCCTTTAAAACCACAGTGCATTTCCCAAGATTTGCCATCTCTGGGATAGATTATCATGGAGAGAGATTCACCGGTAAAGTCCCTAATGCAGACAAATCAAATTACCTCAGCGGACCAGCTGTCAGGGTAAGACGTAGTGAAAGCCATAAAAATCAATAAAATCCCAGCACCGCATTACCAACGAGTGGATTAGGAAGAGTGGATTTCCCGAATGGTGAGTGCTCACAATCAAAGCGTTTACTGAGGGGACATATCAAAACTAAAATTTGTGCATTGGGCTTCAGGGTCACAGACTTGGTTTCTGGCATTCAATTTTAACAGCTTTCAGAACAGAGACATTGATGAATTGGCAGACTGCCAGCATAGAGTGGGAAAAGCTCAGTGTTTGAAGCTTCATGACACTGTAAAGGGCATAAATTCAAATCCTGTGAAATCCTTCTTTCCTTAACCAAAATGTACAAGAATGAACCTGCTCAGTACATGTATGTATACCGTCCGTCATCGTTGATTTGATTGTTTTTCCTTGGTTTACATGTTTTTTCGTCATAAGTTATTTACCGGTACTGATTTGAATTTATAATCGGCCATTTATTGCTACATGTCTTGTATTTTTTTCCTAGGAATAGCAAAATCTACTGCAAAGATTTTTCAGAATCACAGTGGTTTGTTACTATTTAAGTACATGATTAAATGAGAATTTAATACTTGAGTTTGAGGATTTCTAGTGTCTTGACCATGCTATTAATTGATTTTAAGTTTAAATTCCAGCCCTTGGGTTGGTGCCATGACTTGATAAAACTTGTTAATTGTTGCATTTTCATGGAAACATGCCTTTTAAAATTCCTGTGGATACTTGTATCCTGCTCTGCTCATGGAGAGACCAAAGTTTTCACAACAACTGCAGTTGTTTAGTTTGTCACATTTGATTGCAAAGTGACTACCTTGGAACATACATGTGTAATGAGCCCTGAGCTAGACCAAGAGAGGGCACAATTATCTCAGCAACGGAGGCTTCTTTGGTCGGAACTGAACTTTACTTCTTCACAAAGGACTAGGAAATGCATGTGTTACGGTCGCGTCGCTACCAAAACAACACTCCTGGCCAACATGACTCTTGTCAACCGAAGAGGGATACTTATGCTCAAGGCAGATACAGTGTTTTTGCTTGGAAACCTCGAGACTGCAGCAATTCTATCAATAAATCAAACATCATTACACAGTATCCAGACATGTGGGGGTCATAAAAATGAAATGTCTACTGTAGTATATATATTAGCCCAAAAGGTCATTTAGGAGACACTTTGTTGTAAATTTTTCAACCTTAGGGAGACATTGGTCATTAGGCCTAATGCTCCAACTACCAGGAGGAGGCCAAATTTTACCATCCAAAGTTTGAGAGATGGTGGGTTAGGGTCTAAAATGAAAACATGCAAAAGTTTGGTTAAGATCGGATTAGGGAATATTGAATTACGGGTCAGTAAAGTTGGAAAAAATTTGTGCACATTCCTATGGGAATGTCTATTATAATGTGTTTATAATGCATTGTAATATAGAACGTAACATTTTGCCATAAAATACTGATTATTATGCTGAAACAAGCATTCCCTGTGAGTCTCCTGATCCCAGTGTGCTCTGCATATACAAGTAGCTTTGGTACCTGTAATTTAAATGAATTACCGGTAGTAGCCAATGCTACGATGGTACAGTGCTGTTGGACAGGTGGTCGTGGCACATGTGTGTTGCATGCCAATGGGACTAATGAGATGCTATGATTTGCCGAATGCATGCACATGTCAACTCCATGGATACGCGTACTAGTGTAGTGCCATCACAGTGATGGCATCGCCGCGAGTGAGACATTTAAGCAGAGATTGCTCCAGTGTTTGAAACAAAACCTGTATATTTTGTGATACCTTCGCCATTGATTGTAATTTTTGATTAGACAATGCATGCCTGTCTTTTAATTTTGTACCTTATTCCTGTGGGTTTTCATCCAGTGTTGACACCGAGGTAGGTGGGTAGGGGTGGGTTCGGGTTCACGTCTAGGGTTTTCAGCACCGTAATCAATTTGATTCTTATTCAAATTCATTTTTTCTTGGGATTTTTATGAGTATGCACTGCACAGATTTTTATCATGGCATAATTTCTGATCCATTTATTTTTAAGTCATCTTTTTTATGCTTACTGTTATTATTAGTTTTCTGAAAAAAATTATTATCTTTAGTCCTTGTGTGTCATTTAAATTGTTGTGTATTTTTATATGTAAGATTACTACTGATAGATAGCCCATTGAAAATCATCTTTGTTTTTAGATGACATGGCTACCAGTACCATCTGAAAATAAAGCTGTTGTTAAGTTAATATTAGAATAAGTCTATACAGTCTCAGACCTGCCAACCTAGCCGTACTCCTTCCTGAGGTCAGACATTACCACACAATAGATTAAAAGGTATTTAAATGAGCCTTCATTTCAATTAAAATTTTAATCCAGTGTGTTGTAATGCCTGACCTCAGGAAGGAGTACGGCATGTTGGCAGGTCTGTAGTCTCATCACTGCAACTATTGTGCAAAACATCTGTTGATAGATAAATCCCATGATGGCCAGATAATGATAGCTAATTGTATGACAACAGCTCGGCCATCTTAGTCTGACGGCTGATACCGCACTGAAAGTGGTTCAGTTTAAAGTCCAGGTGACAACACGATCTATATTTGTGGGGAAGACATTGCTGATGAATGATACGTTGTAATCTTGACCCTCCCAAATCCTTCAAAATCCTCTCGGGGAGCAATTAACAGCATCAAGGGAGATTTCACCCAGCATCTTTCTTTTCTTTCACGTTAATCGATGTCCACTAAAAAGTCAGAGAGTTTGACAGTAATTCTTGGATGATTTCAGAGGGTTCTGGAGAGTTCCAAGCAAAATTCAAGAACAGAATTAGTTAACAACAAAATTAGTTAGTGTATTTTTTTCTTTTAAATAATGCATGCCAACAGAAGCACAACTATAGGCTGGTTTGAAAATGGACTGCTGTTTTCACCTTCAAATTAGAACTCAAACCGTTAAGTTTTCTCCCAAAAAAGGACCAAAATACGTATCAGGTTTTTTTTGTCTACACATTGACAAAGAAAAGTAAAACCTAGGCCGTTTTATTAATCTTGTGATGCAGAATTCCGGTACAGTAAATTACTTTGTAGACTTCAAAGCCAGCTTGGGGAATTACGTGGTCGATGCTGATGGGAACCGGCTCTTGGATCTTTTCATGCAGATTTCGTCCATCCCCATTGGTAAGGAAGTGTAACCTCTAAGTGCAAAATATTGTCTAGTCATGGCAATATGCGGAAGCTTTGCCGCATGGCATTTTGTTGTCTTACTTACCTTTGCACAGTGATGATTAGTTAGGTTAACGGAAGTTTGCCTTTGCGCCCATAGGCCCTACAAGATCCACTGGAGGATCTTGAAGGACCAAAACTTGAAGTTTTGAGGATTTTACTGATGGTAGAGCCCAGCCCTGTCACATAGGGCTTCATGCCTCTTGACAATTACAAATACCTAATTTTTTTCCTGTGACCATGCACTGGAGGATTTGTCTGGATTCACAAAGGCTCTTGGCAAAACATACCAACTATGGCTGATATGTTCCAGGCAACCACAAAAGCACTGTTGCCTTTGATCCAGAAAGACTCATCAAGACTCATCAAGACACTCAATTTTATGTTCCTTTGAATTTTGTTCTCCCCATGTTCATAGGATACAACCATCCCGCTGTAATTGATATTCTCAAGAATTCAGATAATTTGGTGAGTGAAGCCCCTGGAATGCATACTCGTTGAGTTTGTCCTTCATTCTGTTTCTTACAGTTTTCTTCAAATTTAACATCAACATGTAATATTTACCACATTTCCGAAGTGCCTATATGACAAAGTATTCAGAAAAAGACGAACTTTGATAAGATGTGGTATTGATGATTTTTAATGATTTGTAATGTATTTATTCTGTATTTAATTAAATTTAGTATATGTATATTTAGAATGCTAATTTTTGTATGTTTTTAATGAGGCTTTTACGCAGAGATGTAATTTCCTTTGGGATTAATAAAATAACTATGAACTATGAACTTTAAATCATACAGAATATTTCCCACCGACATTCAGTTCGAAAAGTTATAATAACATTTACATCAGTTTTTATTCCGATGAGATGAGTAAAGTTAATGACTTGACCTTTTCCTATATCACAGCACGTCATGGCCAATAGGCCTGCACTTGGTATGTTTCCAGTGGAGGCATTTCCCAACATGCTGGATGAGGCATTCCTGTTGGTAAGTCAGTGGGCCTTACAGCTCTGTAAATCTTCCCTAGCAATAAAACCTTGGGAACTATCTCTAAGATTCTGTACGTTATCCTCAATTATTTCTAAATTGACCAATGGTGAAATCACGAAGCTACCAAGTAGTAAGATCTTCCAGTGTAAGTTGCCTGTAGGATAAAACTTTTACTCTACTGACAAAGCTGTCTAGATACAAGCTATACATGTAAATGTAAGAGTTACTGCAGAGTACTTCATGAGTATGTTGTTCATTTCAAATCAAGAGAAAAGTGAAATTAGACACCAAATAAAGTCTGTGTTCAACGAGAAACCTGAACCTGCATTTAAGGATGTGTACCCAAGTTTATCCTGATTGTTCTTAAACCCAAGTTGAAATACACCTTAATCCTTGAGTCAGCTAGATGTACTCCATAAAATAGACATTCTGAAAAAGTTCTGTCTTGACAGCTTAGGACAAGTCTAATAGTCTCCAGAATGCAAGTATTGCAGAAGAAAAAAGTACAGAAACAGGCTGGTGCCTTAAGATAACTTGTATGCATCGTGTGTACGGGTCATTCCACGAGGTTAGGGCACAATTTGTGACGATGTCAATTGTTACGTAGTTCCGTATGAGCAGCTATTTCCCTGCATGTGGATTCCAAATTATACATCTTGCAAGGCTGAATACAGAGGTGTGTGTCCTTTCGACAGAGTAAATGACCTACTCTACAGGACATGACAGGTGGTAAGAGTTACCCATGTAACAAGGACACCGTCACAAATTGTGCCCCAACCTCATGGAACGACTTATACCCCATACTCCACGAAAGCTTCACATTTAGCAAGAACATAGACTATCGTCTGTTCAGAAAACGTTGTTGGATGGTTTCAGGTCAGATTTTTCTTGGCTCAACTCCATTTGTTGCGATTCGTTGACAGTGCGCGCCCAGAGGCCTAAACCTCGTACAGCCCATGATGTGTGGGGCTTGCTCCAATGAGAATGCCATCAAGCAAGCGTTCATCTGGTACCGGGTAAGAAAAAAGGTTTTAGTTTGCATGATGGCCGAACTGGTGAAATCTCATATTGGGCAAACCTGGTCATTTTTGTTGCGCAGAAAGAGGGCAGTCATGATGGACAGTAGGCCTCTGGTTCATGAGTAACTTGTCTCCAAAATTCTAGAGGATATCACCAAATCATTGGAAATATCCCTCAGAATAACGTGTTCACACAAATATTGTATCAAAGAAAAGAGAAAGCAAGGGAAAAAACAGAAAATGACAGTAGGATCGGTAACAATCATGTTCACATTTGTGAACATTATACAGAAGTGAATGTTTCTGCTATCGCATTCTCAGGAATGATTTTCTTTGTCATGCAGCGCTGTTTTTATGGGGACCTCTCGGGATGTAACAAGAAAAATCTACAAATTTCACTGTCAAGAAAAAATGTTCTCCCTTGAAATAAAAAAAAATTACTTGCAAATTTCTGTCTTCAGCGAAAGAAAAGAGGAGGGCCAGCAACACAGGAAGAGATTGACTCAAGTGTGACTGGCAAGGTAAAACTTGGCAGTTGCATCAGTAAATTAGCTTAGCAATATTTGCAATATACACTCGGATGTTACAGGTTACCAGCCAAAGGGTCATTAAAGTATATCACTGAAGACTGGCTCGGTGCACGTTTTCACTTAGTATAAATATCTGCTGAGCACAGAAATTGTGTTCATAGCATGTTTGCTTCTGCAGTGGAATACTGGCTAATGTGTCATGTAAAGCACATTACACTGGACAAGGGACTAATTTTTTTTCGTAGGTCTGCTGAGCTTGAAAATTTACCGAGCAAAAACATGTTACCAGCCAAAAGGTCATGTTGAATTTATTGCTTGTAGTTAGACTGGTTCTCGTGTTTGCTCAGCGGTGTCTTCTGCTGAGCTGGGCCCTTGCAGTACCAGATGTCACAAACTGATAATGCATCTCCTAAGAAAGTCAAACCAGTCTCTAAATTTTCATTTCAAGATGTACATGTATGTAGTTAATTATATTCCAACCTCGTTAATCTGGTGGTGTATTGCATGTCTTCATTTTGGAGTGGAGTTTAGGTTACATTTGAACAAAGTTCTTCCTGCATGCACAACATGCATCCTCTGAAATCAAAGCAACAAATACTATTTCAAAGAACCGGAGCGATTGATGTGCTTAATGTAGGTATGAGTTTTTAAAGTAGGAATCAGAAGAACATTCCTTTTGATCATTAAAACATGTCACCAGAGAATCTGAAAAGAAAGAGTCCTTCCAGTTTGACACTCTGACATGTTGGTAGGTTTAAGCATCAGTTGCGGAACTCTAATCTATACTTCAGTGTTGTTTCTTTCTAATCTAATCTTTAATGCCCCCCCCGTGTTTAAATACCAGGAACCAGGGTGTCCACCATACACAGTGCTGTCATTCAATGGATCCTTTCATGGACGCTCTCTGGGTAAAGTAAAAACAAGAAAACAAAAAAAATTTACCTTCCCCCTCCCCTTCAAAAAATTTATGGCAGAGACAAATGTTTGTGTATAAGCCATATTTTCAAATGTAATCAAAGGAACGTCTGGTGTCCTAAGTTTTTTAATTTGGATTTCCTGTGTCAATAAGCTGTTGTCATTTGTATAATGTGATATGAGTCGGCTTAATATTAACACCAGGCTCTCTGAAATGGTCTGTTGTCTTGTTGCCTTTGTCGCTCATTCTATTTACCGAGGCACAAGCTTGCCTCCCAAAGGGTGAAAGTCACTCTTATTTTGTTTTCACTGCCGTTTCACTGTCCATCAGGTTGCTTGTCCTTAACCAACTCCAAGCCAGTGTACCGTCTGGATATTCCTACTTTGGATTGGCCCGTCGCTCCCTTCCCTCGATTGAGTTACCCGCTGGAGGATTTTGGGTCGGAGAATCAGGCTGAGGAAAGCAGGTGTCTGCAAGAGGTATGGGGAAAGATGCGTGTGTGTCTTTCAGTCATTTTCAGCATCATGGTTGCCGCAACCGGGTTGCGTGACTTCTCTACCTCATCCTGACGAGGCGGACTCGGTAACATGGCAACATGAAGTTGTCACCTTCCGAAGTAGTGACTGCTTCACTAAACATTCCTGTGCCTTGCAAATCACTTCAATCACCTGCAGCATATTTAACTTGTTCTGTCTGCTAGAAACAACAGCATAACATACAACTTTAAAGATATCTTCGCCTGTCAGAAGACAGAACAACGTTTTGCATTTCTGGGCATCACCTGCTACTGTCTCTCCTTGCATGAAGAACTGCACCATGCCTCCCAGGTGTGCCCAGAGTACAATATTCTATCAAACTGTCAAACAGTCACGGTTCGATTAAACACAATTTAAAGACACTTGACCTGCAACCAACCAATTAGATGATGGCAGTTTATTTAGGCATTACATAAAGCTTTTTGTGCATAATTAAGATGCTTTATATTCTCTTTGATTTAATCGTTCTTCAGTTAACAAATAAATTATGTACACATCTGTCAGTCTTATTCTTTCCATTCAAAAATAATTCAACAATACGTTTCAGAGAGTTTGTGTTCTTTCCGGCCCCTAATTTTGACAGGTGATCAGACTGATTGAGGCTAACAAAGTACGGGGTAAGGACATAGCAGCAGTCATTGTGGAGCCCATCCAAGGGGAAGGGGGAGACAACCACGCCACCGCTGACTTCTTCCATCAACTCCAGAGGATATGCAAAGAGGTACTGGTCCTGTTCCTTGTCCTGACATGGATACATCACGTGCCGCTAAGTTTGGGAGACGTGGGTAGAAGAGGTTACTGTTGGCAGTTTATTTTGGGGCATCTTTAACATGGCGCTTGGGGGTTAAAGGTACACATCAATGATGAAGCCAAGGTCTTTATTTCTTAAATGTCGACTGCGATGTTTATGTCCATGTTAAGTCACAGTGTCAGGAGAGATTTGAGACCACTTTTGGCCAATGTAATCAATTTTTATGAATAAGTAAAGTGATAAATGCTTCGTATTCCAGTCAGTAAAAGAAACTGCTACAGCATTTTTGTTTTGATGCTGGAAATTTTGCATATTTCCATGTCAAATATTGTCGAGGGGGATGGCAGATTCTCCGGTAATAGCTCTGCCAAAAAATCAACATGTTTCGATTTCAGCACGGTGTGGCCTTAATCATCGACGAGGTCCAGACTGGCTGTGGGACCACTGGCCACTTCTGGGCCCACGAAGCATGGAATCTACCAGAGCCCCCAGACTTTGTCACCTTCAGCAAGAAGATGTTGTCTGGCGGCTACTACTTCAAGGATGAGTTTGCCGTGGATGCGGTGAGTGGTTCTTGGGACGAGAATTGATCCTTGACGATCAGCAGGTAGTTTTTGAAGACCAAATGGGCATCATCTTCATCGTTTGAACTTTTCATATTGAGCGTAACTATTTCCTGCCGGGTGCTTTTAAAAATGCAGTGCCTACATACGGGCGATTTTTTAATATCTTCGGTTTTCAAAAATCTTCAAAATTCTTATCTTTTTTTCCTGAACACCTAAACTCCACGGAGTGTTTGTCTGGTGGCTACTCTAATCTGACAGACAAAATCTATTGATGCCCGAGTATTTCAGCCAGGCCTGCCGCCTTGTAAAAAGAGCCCAGCTTGTGTGATGTTACATAAGTTTCTTTTGTTCCCGAAACTGGCACAGTGCGCTTCTGGCGTCTTTTCAGTACAGGCCAGATTAGCATGCAGCGGTATTGTATCGCTCATCTCTGGAGTGCTGAAGCGCTTTTATCCCCGATGGTAGTCGGCTCACACTGAATGCCACAAACAGTGGTATAATCTCTCAAAACAATGATGGATTTCTTCCGCAATTGACAACTGAAAAAATGTTGGCAATTCCCAGTATCTCTGTCTTTAGTTCCGAGTACGGTCTTTTGTTACAAGGCCAGCTCTATTGTCCAATTTTGGGCATCCCGAGGTACCCGAAAACGGACTCCCCGGCAGGATATGGTTAACCCTTCACTGACATGATTTTGAGTAACCTTTGTGTACTCAGTGCTGTGCCAAAACTAAACTCGGCTAAACTCAACCGCCCTAAACTCAACCCAGTGGTTGAGTAGTTCATCCATCTGAGAAAGTATCCAGCATAAGGTTGTGGGTCCGTACATTTTTTCCTGAATGTCATTGAGTATGTTGTGCTTACTAAAAATAAGGTAAGTGTAGGGAAAAACCTAATATTCAAATTTGCATCACCCTGCTGCCAACAAATTTAATCTCCAATTTTGAACTTTTATAATCAAGATATTGCTGACAGCTAACATGATGCGTGATGTTTGCAACTAGCAATGTATCCAACATCTGTGAATAGCTTTATTGAAGAGGATTTCAAAATCTCATGACAGTGAATTCTCCTTAGACAAGATAGTTGCCTACTGGGGGAGAGCACAAATTTCTGACATTGAATGATTGTCCATGCTTCTGTGAAATTGTGTGCTTGAATATTGTTACAGTTTGCTCTCTTTTTTGTGCACATGCTGTGTACATATTTTGTGTACATTCAGTCGCAATTGGATGGGTAGAATCAGTACCACTGGTGTGCAAGGCTTTAGTTGGTACATGTCAAGTGGGTGGTGTAAAGCTGCTACCAAATCAACTGGCTGTGACTAAGATTAGCACTCATATCTATGCCAAGTCTAGACGCAGCCACTTTAATTTCGACACAGCTTATGGGGACTGCACACTGCAGAGGCCTCAGATGGTTGTGTGCCAACTCAATGTACGCTTTGTTCCGCTCCACAGCCCAGCAGGATCTTCAACACCTGGATGGGCGATCCGCCCAAACTCTTGATGCTGGCTGCCATCGTCAAGGTCATCAAGGAGATGGATCTGGTAGGCGTGGCCAGGGACTCTGGCCAGTACCTGATGGATGGCATCAAGGACCTGCAGGTTGGTAGCAGGAGTAAGCTATTAAAGTTGAACGCATCATTGGTATCTTAAAGATGCAGAAATCTGTGCATGCACATCACATTCATTGCATCATGTGTGATACGGTTCCTTCAACAAAAGGGTAATCCGCCCCAAGCTGAAGTGCACCCCCAATTGGCGAAAAGAAGGACAAGTGATTCTTGCACGCTTTCTGTGTGTATGCAAAGAACATACATGCCGGAGTAAATTAGTTACGCGTACTCAGCGTGCTTCGCATCAAACTCATATATACTTGTGCGCCTCATGGTGTGCCTATGCGGAGAGTACCAAAAAAGTCCTCTTTTGTTCCGCCCGGAGTGGATACCTTGATCTGTATGTGTAAATAAGAGCTGGATAGCTTTATTTACTGAGCCTCTGTTTCCCTTCGGTAACTCTCTGTGTGCATATGTATGCTCATGTACATTTGACACAAGGTGGTATTACGTTGTTGCCCAAGCCTTGCTGTATGTTACCCATGAAAGCCTACTTGTACATGGAGTTATAGATAACCTCCTAATTTCCCTGCCAGGAGGAAAGTTCAAAGCCATTTTAAAGATTGTGTGCGCGGTATTTGACTTCACCTCAACACAGCACAATTGTAGTTTACAGAGATGGAATCTTTGGTTTTTTTTACTACCTCGAGTTTGCTTATCTATTCTGAGGGTCCAAAAAATGCCTTGTTTTACCTCAAAGTAGGGTAAGATTTTCAGCTGAACATTCTCACTTTTCAGAATGGTAAGATACCTCCACCATAGTCCATTACTAAGTTGGACCATATAAATCATGACTCTTGTGAGTCATATGTTCCAGAACTGTGCCACATTTCTTACTGCATCAAAGACGCAGGGTGATATTTGCTCCAATGCCAGGCCGTGTCACATGGCTGCTTTGGCGCCTCACACATTCAAACTCCAAGTTCGAGCCTCGGGGGGATCAGTAAATTGTGGGGACGAGTCCCGGGTACATGTCCTCCATGAATCTGTCATAGGAATCGCCAAGGGTTTATACGTCATCTGATGTGATTTCATTAATTCCTGGATTGTTTTGCCACCGGTTCTTATGTTGTAGAGCAAGTACCCTGAGCAGTTGAGCCGAGCTCGAGGTATGGGAACCCACATTGCTGTGGACTGTAAAGATGGGGAGTCTGCCGCCAAGATCATGAAACTTGTCAGGGAGAAAGGTGGGTTTGTCAACACCCTTTACTTCCTGTGGTTTCCATGTGAGAGAGTTAGCCAAGCCCCATGGGATTATGGGTAGTTGTGCCCATAAGTAGGACAGTTTGAAGTGTTTATAAATTTGGAAGTCTTTTTGAATCATGTGTGAGAGAAGTAATATCCAAAGTGCGGTATATTTTGAATGCTGGATCAGTATATAAATAACAAATGTTTATGCATGCCTGGTAAGAGTGATTAAGAACTGAATGTTCTATTGCCAAGCTGAATGAAATTATTCTGTCCACTGCACAAATGTGGAACAATCATTATTTGTTTTATGCAATATTTGAATAAGTCCTACTCTTGTGCAAGTATTTTTACATAAAATCGTGACAATGAGCAGGTGTCAACAATGCCCCTGTGTGTCTTGCATATTGCTCTTATCATTTGACATGTTTAATTAATGTTTCTTTACAGAAGCTTCAGCGCCGCCTGAAAGTTGTTCCTGTGTCACTCACAGTTTTGTCTGTTTGTATCAGTGTTGAAGTCCAGACTGCTAGACCCCTGCAAGACCACCAGTCTGAATTCAAATCACAAACTGTTCTAATGAACTGCAACAAAAGCATTCCTTTGTCACTGTTCACCCTGTTACTTGTGGCTGGTCTTATGAGAGGACTTGAGATAGACTCGACTACAACACTGGCACCATTAATGGTGACTGTGCTTACTAGATATTGCAAACATTCGTTTAAGTGGTGCTGATCAGCGGGTCACATGATCATTGACCTGCCAATCAGACCACAAGGATTTATTCAGATGTTTGTATGAAAGCTATTATTCCTCTCTTGATGTGTTTCATTTTATTTCTTTTTCCTGGCTTCCTTTTGTAGGAGTGATTGTGGGACTGTGTGGCAAACAGTCTATACGAGTTCGGCCAGCTCTTGTCTTCCAGCCTCACCATGCCGATATTTTCTTGGAGACATTCAACAAGGTCTTGGCCAACCTGTGAACTGAAAGAGAAAATTCTGCATAGCTAAGCTATGATGTATTGGTGGAAAGATCCCATAGTGATTCGTTCATCCGAATTTATCAAAATCTTGTCCTAGTAAATCATAGTACGATTTAGAAAGCTGCATGCAAAGGGCTACCTCAATTTAAAGGGGAAAAAACAGCATACTGGGCTTCATGTTGTACATGTAGTCATTTTTGCCTATGTTGCTGGAAAGTTCTAATGTGAATATGGTCTGAAGGCCTTGACAGATAAAGAGAATTTGAACAGTATACCAAGTCAAATGATTAATGAGCTATAAGCAGCAGGCAATTTCTGCATTGCTTGCAGGGCCCATTTTTTCCCAACTTTGTCTTCCTTCGATAGCAAAGAATCTCTTTTGCTGTAGCAGACAATTCTGGGCCAACGGTCAGTGTATTACAAAGCTTAGCAAGGATTGAATGCAAGCAAGGAGGAAGCCAATGGATTGAGACATAATTTCTGCGGCAGCACGTTATGCTTAGCATAGGATCTTAAAGGGATGGGCCGTGCTGGGAAGATTTTTTGTAAAACCTGCATCAACACATAAAACAAACATACGTATAATAAGAAAACACATCTGCATAATTTCAAAATGCGCGGAAATATGTTAAAAATTATAGTTTTCACGACCCTATCTCACTCCCTTCTCAGAGCAAAAGCTAAACAACAGCCGTCGGGTACTGAAAGTTGTCTGAAGAAATTCTCAAGAATCGTGATGTCATAGGATGGAGTCCTTTATCCGGCGATTGTTTACTGTTACATAATGACGTGTCGACATGTACATGTACGTGTTAGCTTGTGCCCTCATGTCAGACTCAAGCGATGATAATTCCAGCGTTGATGCTTTTTCCGATCATGACAGCGATCAGTTGTCATGTTCGTCTTATTCATTTGATGAAGAAAGCGACATTGAAGGAGCTGATTAGGCACAAGAAATATTGCCTTATCAGTTCGAACCAGAAGATACTCAGGAAAAGATTTTGCAACTCGAGGCCGTTGGCCACGGGCATGGCGGCGACCCAGAGGATGGACAACAAACCACTAACTAATTCTGGATTTTTGCCTTGCCTGACGGAAATTACAACACTGTAGACCCGAAGGCTTGTGAGAAAACTCAAAAGCGTACCTGGGTGGGACTTGAACCCACGACCTCCTGTTTACTAGTGCAGACATCTTAACCACTTGACCACCAAGCTTGCTGGTGTCGGCTGGCTGGTTCGAGTCAGATGTAGTGGTGGGTACCACTACATCTTTTATTGCCAGAACTATGCATTCTGGTCTGGAAATGTCTATGACATCACATTTTTTGCCAAGATTTGTCTGCTGCCCTCATTGACCGATTTCGATATTTTTTTGCGAAGAGCCCAGGAGGAGACTTAAAAAAGCACACCGAAAATGCCAAGTTTTGCTGATTTAATGACATAAAAGGGGGGTTAATCCAACTTACTGTTTATAAGACGGTTGAAAACTATCAAATAACGTCAGTTTAATCCTACGTGGCTCATCCCCTCTAAGTGTGAAATGGCATGGTCAGCCGAGCCAGCTCTCGGGGTCAGCTCTCATTGATGAGTTGAACCTCATGTACAAAATGGTTTTGACCCACTGATTGAATGAAAGGCCTTATTATTTAATGTTTGATTAGAAATCCCAGTGGAGCATGTACATTTTAGTATTGTGAGACCAAAGAAATGTGTACTGGTACTTTAATCATTTAAGAGTCTGATTACCAAAACTGAAATTTCTTCTTGCAAGAAAGTTATGTTTATATCAGAACTTTTGATTGTACAGAAGTGAAAATGTATTCACAGGCTGGCCAATTGTGAAAAGGTTTTCTTGTGAAACCACTCACTGCATCAGTCGAAAGAATAACAAGAGGAAAAATACAATGTACAGTATTCAGTAAAGAAATTCTTGAATTAGGAAGCATACCAAAGATGTGATAGTTAATACTTCAATCTTCCCTTCAAAAAATGTCTGTGTAAATTTGAAAAACTATACAAAGTATTTTGTGTACCTGATTGGACATTCCAGATAGGAACACCATTTGTTGCGAGTTTGAATGGGCGACACTGAGCAAGAGTGTTGGTGAGTGTAAGTATCAAGTGTCAACTCAAATTTATGATTAAAAATGTCTGCCATCGTTTGATCCCAGTCACTTTTGGGTTTAATAATGATGGTCACATTTAGATTCCACAGTCACTGTGGAGTCAGGGACAGTGTCAAAGTTGTTTGTCATACACTGTTGTAAATTTCTGCTCAGTCAATTACCTCTTATTTTGTGATTAATACAAGTTTCCCACGCACACCCACGTTGCTTAAGATTTTACACACTTGGTGTTTGAGATGTACCGGACTACAACATTGGAGTCTTGTAGGCTGAGCTGTGGGCCATAGGCCAACCAGTAAATTTTTGCCTTTTCATTTTTGTTGATGATGTTCATTTTTTGGAGAGAGCCTGAGAAATGTTTATTTTTTGGGATTTTGGAAGAAAACCCCAGTGTTGGAGGATAACCATCTTAACATATCCAGGTTTTGAGAGAGGAGGAGGTGTGAAAACGAATGTCCTTTTTTCGTTCATCAAAGACCCCTCAACTCTCCCCTCTAAGAAAGATTGTTTATTATAGTTGCTGGAGTATTGGCACTTTCAAGTCCTAAAACAAAGATGGCAACATGTCTCCAGGGGGTAACCCTCCCCCCCCCCCCGGGTCATTGAATGACTGACCACCCAATCCATGTCTTCGCCAAGGAAGAGTGGGCCATCATCCCACAGGAGACATGCAGAAAGCTTATAGACACCTTCAGGAACTGTCTTGAGGCATTTCATCAAGAACAAAGGCTATGTTATTGACCATTAAGAAAAGACATTGGACTGTGTAAACCTGGGGCATGAATGATTTTGACCAGGAGCAAAAAAAGAAACCCGGGCCATATCTGTTAGTATGCAAATGAAGTTTAGTCAACACACATGTGGGTTTGTGTGTTGCAACAAATAGACAAAAGATATAGTGGAAGTGCCAACACAATATCTTTTACAAATAAAGAATTTAGAAAAGTATGTTATTTTCTAAAGGGTATAAATAATTTGGAGCACAACTGTATATTCTGACGTCTTACATCCATATGCATTTAAGCTGAATTTATTGAAAATGTGAATTGTAATTTTAACTGTAATGAAAAGTTTATATTGCATGACCTTGATGAAAATGATCAATGATGCCCTACAGGCACATATTATAACAAGATTATAGAAGAAAATTGCAACCATTACAACTGGCACAATTTGGAGGAACAGTTAAATGTGTATGAAAGCTATAGAAGACTTTAAAAAGTAATGTTGATTCTTTAAAAAAAAAACTTGTACATGTAAAAGCCAGTTTAAAAACAAATCTGAACGTTATGCTTAAGAATGTGTAGCTTAGAGAGCTTACAAATGCAGCTTTGAGTGCATTCAAAAGATTGTTCTTGCCAGCATGTTGAGCAACACACAGGTATTTTTATCAAAGCAAAGATGTGCAGGAATGTTATGGTATCAACTCATTTTAAGATCATGTTATCATTTTTATTCGCTTGGCATGTCTGAATATTATGGTAAGACCAGCCTCGTAAATGTAGCTTTTTAATAGATTTATAACAACAGTGATATATTTTTGAAACGTGTTACCCATCTTCTTTGGGAATGTAATTATCAGTGAAGACGAAAGTGGAATTTTCTATCTGAACTCGTTTTGAACGTATAATGTTTTCTTTTTGTTAGCCTAGCAGATCATAGTCAGTGGTGTCTGAGAACTTGTCTGAAATATTATGATTACTCATTAACAAACTCTGTGAAACTTGATAATCGTGATAAAAGTAAAATAAAATTGATAAAAAATAAGCCGACATTTTCATGAAGTAGAGCTGGTTCTTGGAGATTGTCATCATGTTGATGTCCATTCTTGTGCCTGCAAATATAGTCGTCACCAATTTACAGGGGTCATTAATGGTGAAAAGGTAGTTGAAACAGAAACTTCAGAATTGGTTTTACGAAATTTACTTCAACCACTGGTGACTTACCAGACCATTAAGCTTGCAGACTCACTGTGAAACTGAACTGCGAGACTTTGCTGTGAGAGTAAGATTGACAGATATATTTCTGAGCCATCAAGTTGACTAAAGAATGCCCTGGTACAACTAAACTGATTTTTTTCTTGTTAACTTAGGAAGTTAACATGAAGCAGTGATTATGTTACAAACGGGAGAAAGTTGTAATTGGGAATCTTTGTAAAAGAAAGAAAATACCTACTTGGGCCTCTTGGTATATCAGAAATCATGACTGAATGAGTTGTATTATCTTCAAAGATCCTGTTAAAGTAATTTCTTTACTTTTCAGTGGAGAAATGTTCAATATCAGAAGACAGAATATCGGTTATGTATGTTCTTTAGGTAGAAGCAGTACAATGTAGGAAAACTGTGTAAAGACTGTAGTGATCTCCATGCACTCAATGTGAGAAGTCTGGATAAATATTGCATATAAAGCTTCTGAATTTACATCAATGATAACCCAAATGAATAAGCAATGTAAAACATTGTCTTGGGAATGGTACATTTTGAGGAAAATTCATGTGAAGGTCAATGGAAAGTGAATTTAAATGTGACTTCATGGATCATGTAAGAAAAGGGCATGTTGGATGTCCATCGGAACTTTTTCAGTTGAAGAGGCACTTCCTTTCAAGCAAAACTAAAGTTGCCAATTCCAGTTGCCGAGAATGGAGTTGTCCTTATCAAAGTGGAAAATATGGTGTACAATTAAGGCCACGTTACCTAGTGTGATGAGAGCGGTAAAAGCCTCGACTCTGAAAAATTACAATTCATTCTGGAATGTGCTTGTTGCCAAATCATTTATTAAGTCAATAAACACAAACATTAAAACGTCCAAACACTGGCGGTGGAAGTGGGGGAGGGAACAGTGCCCCCCCCCCTTTTTCGGCTGCAGGGACCCCCCAATTTTATCCAGGTCCTATAATGGGTGGGGCAAAATGGATTGGCCTGTATTGATGGCTGAGTTCTGATGTTCTAACAATTGCCCCCCCCCCCACTTTGAAAACCGTTATGCCTGAAAAAATATTGTTAAATCGTTTAGTATTTTTAATGCCTCGAAAGCCAATTTCATGGCCTTTATGAAATTGACTTGAGGCAAATGATTTCATGTGAGTTTCACATCTGTCGATGTCTTGTCTCTGAATAAAAAGCTTGCTCAACTTTGCATGTCCTGCCCTAAAATTCTGGGTAAGATGATGGCGGATTATGATTTACATTTTCATCCTGCAAGCATTTATATCAAATAGCCCAATTCCAGTTGTTCGCTTTTATCCTTTTTACAATTGGCTATCGCGGTGTCACCGGGCTGGGTACTGTGGCCTGTATTGTGCACCGTATGTGCTAATCAATATTATTGTTGTGTAATCGTTCCCACGATCTGATGATGATGAATCATAAATGGCCGCCAGATGGAACGATGGTTAAGGCATGGTTTAGGCCAGTGTAACAACAATTCCATGACTCCAGAATTTCCGGCTTAATTTGTTGGCCATCCAACTTCCAAGTATCGTCTACGGCTTGTGGAAACGGGGCGAGTCGACGGCGTGGGTGGTGGGTAGCCCAGTCATGCCAGTACTAGCATGGAGGAAGGAACACATGTACTAGGAGTAGGAGTAGGAGTAGGAGTTCCATTTATCTGTTCCCTGCTCTATGCATTTACGGACAACACTTGATGCACAAACCTACGTATGAGACTTGTCTGAAAAAACGGGGATTTTAAATTTGGGGACCCCGTTCCTGTAACAGAAGGGAGAGCTTTGAATTCACCGTGAGAGATGACTGTGACCGTCGAGCAAGGAACAATCATGCTCAATAACTGCAGCCTTAATGTTGTCAAAAAGGGCAGCGTTTCGAGTTGGAGGGAAATTTTGAGGGGAAACTGTGAGTGTTTTAACATGAGCCACATGGTGGATTCAAATTTGCATGGTTAGGTTATCAGTTAGAAAGTCACAGTTTCTCACAGTTTACAATTTGTTGGCGTTGTTTTTGGAGGGACGTACCAGTTTTGCAAGATTAAATTTCAAAAACCGGGGGGGTTACTAAATGTACAATCCCTGAAAAAAATTCGTGTTTTCTGAGTACGCCTAATGCTTTGGAATTTTCCTTGCTAAATTTCACTTTTTGGGACATTTTATCACTCTCTGATGGCTGTATGTTGTAACATTTTAAGGAAAAGTTAGTGTTGTCCGTACATGTATTATGTAATGATGAACAATGTATATGGAACTCTTCCTGCTAGTGCTTTCTGATTGCTTTTTGCTACAAGGCAAAAATAAGTGATGTCTGTTTGTGGAAGTGTTACCCCTCGGGATTTTAAATTGATTGCCTTCTCTGGCTTACTTGGGCATTTCTGCCGGGAACTGGATGCTATGATGGAGTGAAGGAGGGGGGGAGAGCTGCTCAGATATTATTGTGGAGTAGGCCGAGGCTAGTTAGCCTATGGAGCTAGTCTAGCCATGGAATAACTACATGTACATAAGTAAATGATTGAAGAGGTTACCAATCAAGCCACACATGTAGCCTAGAGCCAGTGTGAATGGTCACACCAGGGAATTTCATTTTATTTTCTATGTTTTCTTGGTTGACAGTAAACCTCTGTTGGGATTGTTTTGAGCCAGAAGTGAACATTAAAATTGTTTCAGTCAAGACTTCAGGTGTTACATGTAGATTTCTCATTTGTGACCTGTGCTTAAATCATGAGGTGATTAGGCTAATCATTCTGCAGCCTCACATTCTAATTGAGCCACAGAATAAAGTCACATTTAGGCCATCTCATTGGCTGAAATGGTGTTTTTGTTGGGTGCGATCGGAGTACAATCTCTTTGATCACTCTCGAGACTTGTATGATAGGATCATTGTGAACATGTGATCACACCCAACATCAACAGTCAAGTTTAGAAACATTAATGCTTTGAGCTTTGGAGTATGTACTGCAGTGGGTTTGGGCTTTCATGTCTTGTAGTCACACACACACTGTGGCGCTAACCTTCCATACCTAGTGAGGACTTATGAACAAAAGATGTCTACACAATGCAGGAAAGGAAGATGCGGACTTACACATGTCCACAGGACATTTGCCCTTCCCCGAAAAAGAAGTTTAGAGGTATTTTGGGTTAGGGGTCATCTGCCGTAAAAGGAAGGATACATGTACGGTTTGTTTACTTGCGTATCGAAGGAGGGTCACTTACATGTAAGTGTATTACCAAATATGGTTTACTTATACATACCGGTAGAGCAAAAAGGCACGTGTTTGTACAAATCTCACTTGGAAAACTTTTAGCCAATCAGGGGTGGTGCCACTTTAGGAGCGAGCTCGTAGCAGAAACTGCAACACTGTAGGCACTCTGTCACAGCCATTCATTGGGTACCGAGCAACTTTTATTTTCTGGATTACTTTCTATGGATTACTTTTACCCACCACCACCACAGTTTGCCTGTCGCAAGTATCTGGCCCCTGGGAACCTTGATGCCACACAGTTAGCATTCCTTTTGGATTAGCTGCCTGTACCAACGATTGCTTTGGAGAGTTATTGTTTGCCTGTTGTTGAAGCCCATTGTTGTGCTGTCATTAATAGGGTTGATATCATTTCTGGTTAAGTGTTTGATACATGAAATGCGTAAAATAACTCAATCCAAGTACTCCCGACTGAGTGTGCAGCATCAGTGGAAGTGCTCAAGTCCAATTAAAATGGGTTTTAATTAATTAAGACAATGAATATTCCATGCACATGTACTCTCATCTCACCCTACTTGATTTGAACTGTGTGTGTGCTTAGTTTATGTGAGAAATTGATCCAGCTGACCAAGTGAGAAATGAGCAGTTAACATCGTTCTACAACCTCTGGACATTCTCTTGAGGAATCAACAGAGCCTTATACTCACCACCATCTGGTTGTGTTTCATGTACATGTAGATTGCCTAAATATTGGCAGCGAGGTCACGCTTTATTTGTGTGTTTTAATTGCCAATCTGTGGTGTTGGTTCAAGGGGAGTTGTATATGTATACGGCAAAGTTCATGGTTGTACATTAGGTGCGTATACACGTAATCTGCAGAGTTCATCACCGGCAGGGGAGAATTTTTTGAACAAGAATAACCTTTGGACATTTTTACCCAACCACTGGCCGTTGGTGTCATAGTGCAGACGGCAACAGAAATGAACAGATACTGGTAGCTACAGTATTCTTCTTGTGGATTCTCACACTAAGTGTGAAACAGTTGACTCTGGAGAAACAGCATGGACGTTGAATCCTCTCTGCATGTTCTTGTGCACACACTCACTTGACTACTAATTCCAAGATCCTTCTAAATCTTGTGAGGTGGTGGTGGGGAGAGTTATCCAGTGGATTGTAGAGGATTGAGGAAGGTGAAACCACTCGACTATGCTTGAACCAATCAGGAGAGTTGTGGGTCCAGAGTTTATCATACATGTATATGTACGTCGGTGCGTGGGTGGAGATCAGTCACTCTTTCTTTTGCTTTACACATGGCTTGATGTCGCTGGTTTTTGTTTGTCATTTTGTACTACCTTGGAAAATTTTTGAGAATTCAGGGATGTTCCTTTGTTGCAGAATGACCAAGACGTTAGGGTAAAGTCCATAGCCTAGGACCAAACCCTAGGGGTACAGTCCACTAATTCAATCCCCAATGAAACCTGTTCAGGGCCCAATAAAATGCATGCTAACATCCCTGAGACTTCTTAAACACAAATGAAATTCTTGTCTTGTCACTAATCTTTCAATTTCTTTTCAATTTTTTGTGGGTTAACCAATTACATTTTTAACAAAATCACCCCACCCAAAAGGGATTTTTCCAAAGTCTGATTGCAGCCATTTTTCAAGTGGCAACCCTCAACTTTCTCAGGCACTTAGGACCATTTTTCAGCCGTAGTTTTTAGCCATTCTGCTCTTGTATGAAAGCTCAAAGACCCAGGGAGTTGATGAGACTTGAGGCTATGCATGGTGGAAGTACTAACTATGAACAAGTTTGCGGTGACACCATGTGGATAAATTTCTCTTTTGTGAGTGTGTGTGGTTCTGAGAGGGAGTTGATCCTGGCAAGGATTTACACAATCTCACCATTTTGGGGGCCAAACAATCTCCTTGTTCAAAAGATACTGTGGGGGCAGGTTTAATGCTAGTGATCTGGCCAGAAATTCTCACTACACCCCCAGACATTTTTTCCTTCCTTGAAATCTTACTGTTTGTGACCTATTATATAATGCATGTTTACATTGGCAGGGAGGACACAATGTACCAGTGGTGCTAATTCATCTCTGTGGCTCTGTGAGTTACATGTACACATGTGCGGATAGGTCTGTTGGTACATTGCCAGTGGAAATTTCCATGGATGGTTGGCTGGGTACAGTTTATGGCAGGATTGCAGACAAATGGTTTTGTCACAGCCAGGGTCAGTCAAAGGCACTTTTAATTACTGGGCCGGTAACTCTGTGGTTGCATTGATGACTTGGGGGTAGAATTTGTGAGCTCAGTCTGTTGAAAGATATGATGTACCGGTAGAGGTAAGTGATCTCAATATTATTCTCTGTTGCATCATAATGCATGCACCATGGAGTACACATTGTAGACCGTGGGGAAGGAACACGGTTAATAACTGCATCACTGCTCCAATTTTCCTCCTTGGATGCTATTGCAAATGAATTCACAGTGACTAAGTTGGTTTTTCAGTTGCATTTGTGCATGCAACTGGCCTCTATGTAATACGCCTTGTCTGTTGCATCATACATGTAGGCTTCCGTGCAACTTTTCCTTGGATGAGCTACATGTAGTTTCCTCATTTTTCACTCCACACTCGTTATGCCCGTGCCGTTGAAAATTGAAAACTGCTACACAAAGTCTCGAAAAGATTGAAAGGCCTCTTTTTTTGTCAGAGTCCAAGTTGCATGCCTGCATGGTTTAGTGCACTACTGATGCGGTCATGTGTGTAGATCAGGCGCAGAGGGAGACTGGAATAGTCAGTTGTGTGACCTTGTTCTGATTGAAATGGTAGAGAAGTGATTGAAGACAACCATTTGAAATCAGGTTTCGAGGTACGTAGGCCTAACTCTTGCTTTGGATTGGATGTACATGTATTATGTTTTGCTTGATACTGTCTTCATTCATCTCCATGGCGATGGAATGTGTATTTGTGACTCAGTGAGTTGGATGTTGCCAGAGTCACAAAGTTTCTGAGTTGAAGACCTTTCAAAAGAATTTTGCATGATAGAAATCAATTGGAACCCTCATAATTATTTCACTCGCATAATGTCCATTATCATCAGAATGTCAAACTGAGCGATACATCAATAAGAGCTTAGGCTGTGTCCGAAACGGGCTTCCAGAGGTAGGGCTAGGTCTATTGTCTGCGCGTCTCCACGCATTTCCAATGGAGTGAAGACCTAGACCTAGCTCTAGACAAGAGATTCAGATGCAGCCTTAGGCTGTGTCCAAAACAGGCTTCCGGAGCTAAGGCTAGGTCTATTGTCTACGCGTTTCCACACATTTCCAATGGAGCGAAGACCTAGACCTAGCTCTAAACAAGAGATTCGGATGCAGCCAGAGTCTGCTCTTGATCCTCACTAGAGTAAAATAACAGGAAAAATATGTAGGTAGTGTAATGTCTTGTGTACTTAGCTACACAGTGACTCCAGATTTGAGCTCTCACAGTATCAGGAAAACTGCAAATTTGTGTTTGCCTTCGGTCATAAGGTAGAGGTCACTCAAGCTGGTGCCATGGGTGGTCGTGGTGTATACATAGCAACGACTTTTGTGTTACTTGTTCATTGGCTCCTGAGGTGGTGATGGGTCTAGTATTTATAAAATAGGGGAATGCCCCAAATGGAGGTGACCCATGAAGATGTGGGTGAGGCATATGTTTGCTCAGTGCTGATCATGGTAAAAATGAAGAAATAACAAAAGACAAAACTTGTCTTTGTAGGGCCTACCCCTCATGCCCCCAATTATAGACAACATCACTTGCTGTGGGTACATTCATGAATATGATTTTCTTTTTATATTCCTTTCAGAAACTGAAACACATTTCATGTAAAGAGAGCTGCTAGTACTTATTACATGATGGCATCCTTTTGGCGGCAGACGTACTATCTTACATATCGTAACTTCTTACTGAAGATCCGAATGAAACAGTTGCTATCTCAGGTGAGATAATTTAGTCTGTAGGGAAAGTAAAATTGGATTATGGAATTACTTCTGAATCATTTTACAAAATGCAGTAAAAAAAAGAATTCTCGGTTTAGAATAAATGCAAACAATTCATTCTCAGTATTGGTTCAAATGCAGTCTATGTTGTCTTTCTCTTTCCAGGAAATCTTCTTACCCATTATTTTAGTTTCCTCCATTTTAATTGTCAACCTGACAAACAAGCCACGAATCTACAATGAAGCCCCTTACGGTGCCTTCAGCAACTACCCACTGCTTGATGCCAACAGCAGCGTGTCATTCATGCCCGATGATTCCAAGCCCTGGGCGTTCACGCCAAACAACAGCGACACCTGGGAGGTGATGCAGAGGATCAAGAGTGCCCTTGGTGAAAGGGCGCCGTCGGTGTTCTTATCGTTTCCCGACGAGGAACAGATGGTGACGGCTTACCGTTCACAGCCCGAGCCTCAGTTCTCAATCGGCATCGTCTTTGGTGCGGACTTCCCCCAAAACCTGATGGTGGCTCTGCGCATGCCATTCGAAGCAATGCCTCCCACGGATGAAAACTCTCGATTTGCATCCCAAGGTAAAATAACAAGCGATGACACAACAATGTCAGTCTAGAGAGTTATAATCTCTGTGCTTTGCAGAAATGTGTCTGCAAGTAAAATTCATTTGCTCCGTACATTTGCTGTCAATTTGGGAAGTTGACCTGTTAGGTTTAAGAATCTGTTAATCTTCTCAAACCTCTTCTCAAACCTCTTCAGGGCAGTTGCACGCAAGGGCTGAATTTGGTCTCATTGTTACCAACTTTATTATTTGTAACTCATAGAGATGAAGACAATTTTTCAAAAAGTGGAAGTTGAGATAGCACGTGCTGCCGTTATGTTTTAACATATTTTGACAATTTTCCACCTTCACACATAAGATTGCCCTTTTGATAATGGTACATTGAACTTGGAGAATTCAGTGAATTTCCTCAGATGTTCTTGAAAGTAATTGTTGGGTATACATGCTTCAACCATCTCAACATTCCCCTGTTTTGTTTGTTTATCCAATGGAATAGCTTCATGTCGTGCGATTGACGGACAACCTCCCGGCTTGGCATCGTACAACTGTCCTGCAAACAGATACCTGTTTTCCGGTTTTGCCGTCTTGCAAACCGTGATGCAGAATGCCATTTCTTCGGTAAGTTGGATCCAGATTTGTCAGATCTTGCTCTTCAACGAAGGGACATCTGGTCAAAGTTCATCTCCTCCAAGCTTACACCTTTTTGATCACGGATGGTAAATGTATGTAAAGGAACATGTTTCAGTTCAGGCAGGAAGTCTGCCATCTTTGTGGGGCTATGGCTCTAGTTGAAAATGAGAGATCATATCTTCCCTTACTGAATGACCAAACATTGCCAAATTGTCAACCCAAAATATGTAAGGCCACGCTCAGTGTTCGATTTCGCCTATTATGCATTGCATTTTGCAACGTAATATCGACCAAATGCTGCACACCTTCTCAAAGAAATTGCACATGGTGTGATGCAAAATGTGTGGGCCTTTCCAATGTTCATGTTGTCATATGCTTAAACCATTCAATTCACACATACAGCAAGGCACAGTGTCCTTTGAACAGTGTTTAAGTTGAGACCACCACGAGACCAGACACAAGACCATGTCCGTGACCAGTCACAAGTAACAAGGAGAACAGTGCCAAAGGACTTGTGACTTGAATTCAGACTGGAGGTCTTGTGTTGGTCTTGTGCTGATCTTCTGAAGGTCTTAAGTGATTTTGGCTGTAATACTACCTTTGAAGTATGCAGAAATCAAGTCAAGGAAGAGCTGAATTCATTGGTTCCCATGCAAATCGTGTTCACTTGAGATAGCCAAAGTAGGGAACCAGTTATGTCGAGGTATTTCGCGAGCAGCGAGGTGTGCAATTTTTCCAATACTACCTTGGCAACAAGCTTTACAGCAGGAAAAAATTCCCTTAAAACTTGCTGAAATAATATTCTATATTATTTTTCATTTGGCTTCCAAAAAATTTATATGCTGTTGCAAAGAATTTTTAATAAATCGACTCATTCCAAAGTCGGTTGATTCCCCTCTGTCAGTGTCTTTGTCCACAAATTCTGAACCCAGACTTTGCTTGGAACCTTTAAACTTCTCCCACGTCTCTCAGTCGTCTCTCTGTCAAGTTTTAAGAATCACCCGAATCTTGTGGCCACCTCACAGATGCTGACAAACGAGACGCTTTCCTTGCCGGATGTGTCAGTCCGCATGTTCCCTAAGGATCGGTATGTGGAGGCTTCCTCCTTCCCTCGCGTGTTCTCCTCCATCTACTACGTGCTCATGTACACCATCTTCGTGGCTGCCCTTCTGTCGATCATCGTCTCCGAGAAGGAGAAGAAGATCAAAGAGACGATGCTGGTGATGGGAATGTCCAACGGTCCCTTCTGGTGAGTGTCATTCAGAAGAGAAAAACGTGATATGTTAGAAATCCAGATAAATATAAATTCTTTGATATATCAGATTGAGCATGTCAAGTTAGGCAAGAAATATTGTTGGTACATTCTGAAATTTTCCTTTTTAACAGTTTTGGATTTGTTACTTACAAGTACAGCATTATCACACGCTGCCACATTAACTCATTTCTGTCCTTGTGGGTTAAAGTCAGGTGATACAATAAACAATCATATTTCATACCTCATTTTTATACGTCATATGTTTTTTTCCTGTCAGGCTTGCGTGGTTTATCACCTACAGTGTCATCATGTTATTTGTTGCCTTGGTGATTGCCCTCCTGAGTAAATACGCCATCCAGAATGTCGCCAATGGAAACTTCCTCATCATATTCCTCATTATGTACCTCTATGGAATGTCAAGTAAGTCCACAAATGTCTTGAGGAAAAACACAGCGTGCGTGTGGTAGGGAGAAGAAGGATGTGCCCGGGCGATGGCGGAAGGAATCCAGGAGTTTATTGCAATGACTTTGTGTCATAGGAGTTTAAAAAAAAGCCCAGAGTGATGTACAAGCAGAAGCATGCGGCATAAGTGATCAAGACCCTGAAGTTTTTTCTATTATACTTTTTAGTTTATATCCGGTTCATAAGTGACTTTGTCACAAAGGCAGACGTGCGTCGATTTGCAGGCTCTCATTGGATGATCGCTGCAGTTGCGCGTTAACTTTCGGTTCCAAGTAAATGGCGATCAGTGCATGTAACTCTACATGTATGTGCAGTGGGCGTGGTTTAAACTGAAGTGACATCACACGAATCGGATAGAGCCACACAGCAATGAGCATTGTGAATAGGAATTAAGCACATGAGTGCTTGGCGGGAGGGCACTCCCAAATTTCTAGGAAACATTCCAATGTTCATCCAAGCAAACAAACAGTTGTGACCTGGGGCACCTTCACATCAACATTCCCTGATAGTTGTGACTGGTCGTGTGACTGGTCTTGTGACCAATGGAGATCAAGACAACACCGGTACATGCATGCCATTTGCCAGCACAGGTGAAAAAAAACACAAAACATGGTGCCGGGGGAGGGGCAGAGGTGGATCTAGAGGGAGGGTTGGGGTTGGAACCCCCCCCCCATTCAGCCATGGACTAACCAGAACTGTCAGTAAAATGATGGAAAATGAGTTAAAAAAAAATATCCTGGAGGAGGCTTGCGCCGTCCATCTATCCATTTATATTTAATTTTTTTTTCATCAGCGAACAGTGCATGATGCTTTCACACCCCCTTAGTTTTGTTTTTTTGTTTTTTAACTGCAAATGGGAATTCAAATTAAATGAAATAATTGTTGTTTGACAATGAGATGTGACTTAACACTTCAGCTGATTCAAGGGTAGAAAAAGTTTCTGTGCATACAGCAATAAGACTGAGTCAATACAAATACGTGTAATTAAATTGTCAAATATTTGACTTCCATTCAATTGAACATTCAGACATTCAATTGAGCCAAATTTGCTGAAGGAGAGTAAATTTATCAAATGGACAAAAGAAACCTTTTGACATCTTAATAGGTACACGTATGTATCCATTCAGGTTGATTCAGGTAATGGTAGGCACTTTTTCCACTTTTGAAAAATTTTGTTGGTTATTCACCTCCAAATATTCATGTTAAAAAACCAATAATTTGAATATAAATATAAACAGCCCTATGGAAGAAGGTGCCCTCACTTACCATGGATTGCCAGATATTCCAGGAATCTAATGTTCTGTTTCACTTACAGTTATCTGTATTGCGTTCATGCTGACGCCGTTCTTCAACAAGGCCACTGTGGCAGGTGCTATTGGATCATTGCTGACCTTTTTACTGTCCCTAATCTACCTCCCCCTGGGCCTGATCGCTAACGTGCCTTCTGTCTACAAGTGGCTAGTGTCGTTCTTCTCGCCGGCAGCGATGGCATTAGCCATTGACCAGGTGTGTACATATACGTATTTTGACTGTAACACCCCCCCCGTACTGTTTGAGGGGTGCATATGAATGATGCCGGTGATAATAGCCCTAGCTGTGTGCGTGGATAAGTGGTGCTTTTTAGGTCTCGGTCCTAGCCATTGATGAAATGTCTATACAAATTGCCCATAGTAGTAGCTGTTACATGTATATAGTTATTGTTTGGGTTAGAACAAATCATGTCTGCAGTTGATTTCATGAAGCGCTAAGATGTGTCTCAGGAAGGGTAACCTTTCCTACTCCATAAATCTGAAATGACTTCGTTTTGTCAGGCTGCATACCAGGCACTGATTCAAAATGGATAATTTCCCCCAAATACGCACTGTCTTTGGGTATACATATACATATGTTAGAGCTAGCAGACAATTTTTTTCTCTCAAAACGGCTGCCAATCAGTCATCGTGAATTTATTGTGAGCGCGTACATTTCCTGTGGATGTTACATGTAAGTGCTGAATTGAACACAGCCATAACAGATAAGAGGTCATTGTGGTCCAATAATTAGAAGTTCATTGAACTCTATTTCTGACGTGTCTTGCTTAAGAGGCAAGTTGGTGAAATTGATTTTAAGATGCATCTTAGCTGAGATCGATCTTTAAACTGAGACTCATCTTAAGTCTGAAAATGAGTTGCAAGGTAAGATGAATTTTGTGAAATAACCTGCTGTAAGGTTATTCCTAGCTGTTGATCAGTGAATGATTGATGTCTAATGTTATCCTTAGCTGTTGATTAGTGAATGATTGATGTCTATAATGTTAGCCCTAGCTTTTGATCAGTGAATGATTGATGTCTATAATGTTAGCCCTAGATGTTGATCAGTGAATGATTGATGTCTGTAATTGATTGCCCTAGCCATTGATTAGTAAATGATTGATGTGTGAAAGTTTAGCCCTAGCTGTTGATTAGTGAATAATTGATGTCTGTAATGTTAGCCCTAGCTGTTGATTAGTGAATAATTGATGTCTGTAATGTTAGCCCTAGCTGTTGATTAGTGAATAATTGATGTCTGTAATGTTAGCCCTAGCTGTTGATTAGTGAGTAATTGATGTCTGTAATGTTAGCCCTAGCTGTTGATTAGTGAATGAGTGATGTCTGTAATGTTAGCCCCAGCTGTTGATTAGTGAATGAGTGATGTCTGTAATGTTAGCCCAAAGCTTTTAATCAGTTGTGTGGGGATAATGTCTGTAATTGTGACCCTGATGTGTGTGTCTTGTCCATGAATAAAATCCCTTATTTACATTTGCAAAATCTCGAAGTCTAGCTATCCTACCACAGCTGTGTCCAATTTATTATAAGTGTCTTCTCAAAGGATGTCACAAATTGAAATGGATTATGGGGGATGAGAGAGGTCACCAGATGTCTTTACCAAGACACAGCCATTGAAGTAGCAAGTCCTGTGATCATTATCTTTTGTGTTTCTGTGGTGACACTTTATTTCCATCTGCAGGCAGCCACTTTAGACGAGGGAGGGGCTGGTATCCAGTTTGACAACATGGGCCTGGATGGATTCCCTCCATATGTCGCCATGCTGGCCATTGACTGCGTGATCTACTTGTTGCTGGCATTCTATTTTGACAATGTTGTGCCAGGTAAACTTTTCTGGTTTTTTTTTTTCTTCTTTCAAATTGGCTGTTTCAGTGCATCAACAGTGGATGTGATGCATGCTTTTCAGGGGAGGAACATTTTTGACAAAAGCTCCAGTGCAGTCTTTGTTTACGCAGCGATGAGTTCTTCTTCACAAACTGCTTATATCTGTTGTATTTGGCAAGATCCTTCAGGGAGCTTAGAGCATTCCACAAATTGTCTTTTTCTCTTTTACAGGCAAGACTTTGTTACTGCAAATGTGTGGCAACATTTTGGGGGATTCCAGTTGGCGGATCGGTGCATCCTTCTGAAGTATTACCATATTTGGACGGCCTATTCTGTTACAAATCTTGCGCAATCTGACCAATCACAAGGCTTTTTCTAGCAGCCTGCAACGGATTGTATGGGTTTTTTTCATGTTTATGGAGTGCTTTTCTTAAATGTTGCAGCATATGGAACAAAAACATCAACAGCAATTTCACTTGCAAAAATTTGATTGGCTATGCAATGAAATCTGTCTACAGAAAAACTAGAAGTTTTAAAACATGTTTGTACCGATGGGATGTAAAATTTGTCGTTGCCAACTTGAGAAATTTTAAGTTGAATTTGGACAAAAGTTGCTGTATCAGTAGGGAAGGTCACTATGCCCATCCCATTCAAGACTGTTCATAGTTTCTTCCCTTTCAGCCTCTGTGACCTGCGGTTCCAATCCTGTTGAGGTTGACATTATGGACTGGGTTCTTGGCCACTTCCTGATGCTATGGGTTTTCCCTCGGAATATTTGTGACAGGCTTTCTTCCAACCTAAATAGCTGAACATTTCTTCATTCAAAAAACAAGTCGGCACTTGTGCCAGCACCTGCGAGAACCTACCTTCAAGAGCACGCCAATATAGGTGTATAAATGATTTGTTCTTGCACTCTTTATAACGGCAGGGACGTACGGTCAGCGTAAACCACTGGGATTCTGCTGTATGCCGTCCTACTGGCAGAACCGTCAAGGGGAAGCCGAGGGGATGGTTGATCTAAACACACTAGAGGATGTTCCTGATGTTGAGCTGGTACCCCAGGAGATGAAAGACAGGGCTGGCATCAGGTGAGATGCAAAAAGGGCATGGGGATGTAATACCAGGAGGTGTGGTGCTAGACTGATAATGAAGTCAGCACTTAAGTCGTGAAAAGCATTATCTCTGCTAACCATGGGTGAACATTGGACGGAGGATGTCTCTGTGATACTTTGAAATGAAGAACTTGCGGTTTTTATCGACACTAGGTACTTCGATGTATTTTGTTAATAATAGGTGCAAATACCGGTGAAGGATTATTAGTATTTGTGAAGTACTCAACTTCAGCACTATGCAATCCAATTTTTAAACTTGAATCTTTGAAACCAAAAGTGTCATCCATCCTTTGATTATATGGGTAACTGGCTATGTGCTGGACACATGGCAAACTGGCATGACAGCTCAGTGGAAGAACATGAGGAGCAGTGGAGACCATCTGTTGTACTGCATGCTTCAAATGTCTTCCTTCGTTTGGGCTGTAAATAGACCTTTGTGTGTATATCTAGCATCTAAACGATCAAGTTCTCAAAATGTTGTTTCTGTGGACCATGGAGTTTTGTACCTTTAAATATCTGAAAGTGTTTTTTTTTCCTTGTCTGAAGGATCCGCAGCTTGTCTAAGACATTTAAAGGAGGAAAGGAAAAGCAAGATGTTCTCGCTGTCAAAGGTACAGAATGATCTCCCCCAAAAGAAGTTTCAACGTTCTTGCTATTCTTTATGAATAATAACCGGTAAATATAAAAGTGTGCCATGTAGAATATATTAGTTACCGATAGAGGGTATTGTGTAACCACAAGGACAAGAATGCATGACGTAAACTCGATCCATTTTTATCTGTCTGTTAACAGGAGTAAGCCTGGACATCTACGAGGGCCAGATCACCTGCCTCCTTGGCCACAACGGGGCCGGTAAGACCACCTTGATCAACACCCTGACCGGCCTGATAGCGGCCGATAGCGGCCAGGCTACCATCTATGGCTACAGCATCCGGGATCCCATCCAGATGCAGAAGATCAGGTCCATGGTCGGGGTATGTCCCCAGGAGAACACGTTGTTTGAGAATTTGTCGCCGCGGGAGCACCTCAAGGTGTACGCCGGACTGAAGGGGGTACCCACGGAGGATATCGAAGAGCAGGTATTTATATGTGTGTGTGGACCCGTGGTTGGGGTCCACGACTCATGACCTGAGGGCTGGGGGTTCAAATCCTACTGCTGACAGCGTGTTATATCCTTGGACGAGGCATTCCATACCCCCTACCATGCTGATAAAATAAAACGTCTGCCATATCAGCTCTCTACAGACCCTACATTTTTACCATGCGATTGCTTAGAATTATCGTTTCTGATCTCGTTGGTTTTATTCATTGCTTGTCAGGTGATGAAAATTCTGAAGCTAACGCTGTTGGATCAGTCCGAAAACACGCAGTCCAAAGATCTCAGTGGTGGGCAGAAACGCAAGCTGTGTGTGGGAATTGCACTCATCGGCGACCCTAAGGTAAGTGTGACAGAAAAATACCTGGATGTCCGTCAAACTGATCTCAGAATTCTGACTGTCGTTTGTAACCAGCCCTTTTTTAGGGGTGGGTGGGAGGGTAGGAGGGAGGGTCTTACATTTTTTCAGTTGCCAATAGAGGAGAAAATCTGTCATTGTTTTGAAAGATTATACCACTGTTTGTGGCATTTAGCGTAAGCGGATTACCACCGCTGACAAAAGTGCTCCAGCGCTGAGCGATACAATACCGCTGCATGCTAATCTGGCCCCTACTGAAAAGACGCCAGAAGCGCACTGTGCCAGTTTCGGGAACAAAATAAACTTATATAACACCGCACAATCTTGGCTCTTTTTACCAGGCGACAGGCCTGGCTGAAATACTCGGGCATCGATAGATGTTGTCTGTTAGAGTAGAGTAGAGACACCAGGCAGTCATTCGTGTGGGTGTAAACGTCCAGTAAATGAAGTGATGATTTTTTAAAGAATTTTGAAAACTAAACATCTTGAAAATCTCCCGGTTTTACATCATGCAACTTCAAATTACAGCCGGCAGCAAGTGGTTTAGTTCGGGTTTTTCTGCAGTAAATTCTTTGTTGCACTTAACCTGTAACGAAATCCCCTCAGAAAGATTACAGTGGCTAATAAGTTACGCTTGAATCTAGAGCGGCCTGGCCAAAATCCTGAATTCAGGCTGCTGAATTCGGGCTTACTGATACGTGAGAATTCATGGACTGTTAAGTTGCAGCTCATTGTAGATGCTGTCTTCATCATTTCTCTTTTTTCTATTTCAGATTCTGTTTCTGGACGAGCCGAGTAGTGGCATGGATCCGTACTCTCGCCGGCAGCTGTGGAATCTCCTTAAGAGCCAGCGACAGGGGAGGATTATGGTCCTCACTACGCACTTCATGGATGAGGCAGACATCTTGGCAGGTCAGAGGCAGCGTTGGTGTATAGACATTGTTAAAATCAGCTGTTGCTAGAGCTTGGCCAGTAGTTTGGCCTTGTTTTTCAAGTACACTCAGCAAAGAGGTTTGGTGAAAAGAGCCTGGTGTCCTGTATGGTGGATCTGGCTGACCCGTTCAATTTCCACATTGCTCAATTATATACTGTCTTGGTTGCAGATCGTAAAGCGGTGATGTCACAGGGCAATCTCCGTTGCTATGGCTCCTCACTCTTCTTGAAGAATCGATTCGGCATTGGTTATCATCTTGGGTGAGTAGATTGTGCCGGAGTAGATGAACACGGCCCTGCGGCAAGTAAGGCTGGTCACTTGGCAGAAAAATTTAAAGTCTGAAGGAAAAACATCATCCGTGAAAGTACAGGTGGGCAAATGAAATGATGTGCCGAGTGGCTTTTGTGTGTTGTGCTTTTTTGGTTGGGATGATTTTTACATGATGAATTGATATCGCTCAATGGGAGGAAGAACATTAGTTGACTTCCAGTATTTTAGGGCCACACAGCTCACTAAAGCTTGGAAGGTTTAGTGGTGGTCTCAAAAGAATGGTGACAGTGAATTGGACCTCACGCATGATGAGAGGCAGTGACTGAATTCCCCTTCCCTGGATTTACATCATGTAAACCAATGTTATTTTTCCATAGTTTGCTGCTAAATAGCATAGGGCCTTCATATTGGAATTTGTTTTGAATTTGTTTAAAATTCAATTGCAGATCTCTGAATGAAGTGGTTTTTAAACACAGTTTTTCTTTCCTGTGGCGCACAAGCCGAAAATAGAGCTGTTAGAAATGAGAGAATTAAAAGAAGACGGTTAAAATAACATTAAAAGAGTTTTCTCTTGTGTTGTGTTGTTGACGTGGTGATATGGTTGTCTCAGTGGGAGTCTCTCATGTCAAAACGAGAATATTGAAAAACAGTTGTTGATTTTGTTGTATTTTTTTCCCAGTATGGTTGTGGAGCCGGATGTAGATGTTGACAGAATTACGCAGCTGGTTACAGCACAGGTCCCCAACGGTCAGATGTCTCGTAGCCATGGCATGGAGCTCGCCTACACACTCCCATTAGAGGACACCAGCAAGTTCCCTGGTAATTGGGGCCTTGAGTAGTCTTCCCATCTGTCAGTTTGTTTCTGCCACATCTGGTGATTTGTTTGTCTGTGTATTGAAGAAAACAGAAAACAATGGCGTGTGTGTTTAAAAGGAGCCTTCTTTCAAACTATATGATACAGATTTGTTCAGAGCATTCGAAGAGACCAGTGGGCAGGATGGCGCAACAGTTGCCAAGCAGCTGGGCATCCAGTCTTACGGTGTCTCCATGACAACACTGGAGGAAGTCTTCCTGAAACTGAACGATGAAGAAATGGAGGACACCGAGGAAAATGAAATTCAAAATGCAACAGGTATTGCCGTGATGACTGGCTGCAACCCTGGATTCTCTTTTTAAAAAGACCAAGCTGAACGGGACGAGTAGGTTTGCCCGGTGGACACGAACAAAGTGTTGAGAGCTAGCAGTGCCTTCATTTCCAACGGTTTGTACCCTGTTCGTCGTCAGGAGATGTGTTGGGAACACACTGTTCTGAAACATTAACCCTAGGGTTAAGTTTTTTTCTCAAACTCACACAACTCAAACAAAAGAAGAGGATTTACCTTATGTGTGTTTATGCAAACCTTCCGTATTTTGTTCTGAATTTCTGTTCCAAGAAAATGCACCAAGCAGAGCTGCCATGTGTGTTGGTTGGACACAGCAAACAAGAGTTGCTGGTGCATTTTTCATCTGAATGTGCACAATGCTAGCAACAGACGACAAGGGTTTTAAGTTTGTCACGTCTCTCTTTCTGTCCGTGTCTGATGGCACGTTCACTCGTAATCCCTCCATTATCGGTCATTATTCTTGATGACCCGGCCAATTTACCTGTGGCTGTTTATTGCACTTGTCTACCTGCAGACACCACCCCTCTTGCTGTCAACAGCCTCAACGGCAATTATCAGAGCATGGCAGTGGGCAGCAGTGAGTCCGTGTCGCTGAATGTGGAGCACCTCATCACTGCTCCCCTCGAGCCCAATAAGTACCAGCTTAGGGGGTTGTGCATACTCCTCTTCAAGCAGATGATACGGGATCCCGGAGTAAGTCCATCTTTGGGGAGTCGGCACTAGCAGAAACCGACATTGTAGCAGGTTGTCGTTAAAGAGAAGATTGTCAGATGAGATTCAAAGAAGCCCAAATATTGTGGCAGGTTAACACAAAAAAGTAGGTTAATGTACCTTTGGCCAGTAAGCGAGAAATTTTTGAATATAATTGTAAAACATCTGGCAACTTTCCTTTTAAGTTTGTGGAGTGAAAATAAATGTTTGTTGGAACAGTATTATATAGGAATTTCTTGAAGTGACAGTTGAAATGTTCCATTCCAGTAGTATTCGAATGGGTTACTCTTTTCACTGCAACAGTGTTGAACATTCATCACTGAGTAAATCCTTGCATCATCTTCGAGTCCAGAGATTCCCTCTTACTGAGCAAATGGAACTTCCATTTACGTCTAGAATGGAAATTCTTTTTTTTTTTTTCTTTCAGCACGGCAGTGCTGCATGTTGGGTGGAATAGTGCCTATTCAGTGATACACTATTCAGATATGGATTTATTCAAAACTTTGAGAATTCAAGAAGCAAGACATGATATGGCTGTCTTGTTAGCCTAAGACAAGATGACATAAGGTCTAGACCTCTCGTCACCATGGTCTCGGTTTTCTCCTTGATTTGATGCAGACCTACTTCTCGCGCGTCTTCTTCCCGATCATCTACATTGTGCTTTCCGTGGTCCTATCCTCCACCATTAGCTTCGGCATTGGCCAGGTTGATAATCCATCCAGTCTGACCCTTGACCCCAGCCTGTACTTGCAGACGGATTCCCCGTCAACCCTACCGTTGCTGTCCCCTCTGCTGTACCAGAATAACTTGACAGTGGCCGGCGGTAAGTTGGGATTAAACAACCATCTCAGGAAACAGATCAGGGCAAGAAATGATTTGAAGCAACCATCACATCCTCGACCACAGGCCATTTTCTTTCTTCGGGAGCTCCATAGGTTTCTTTCTTCTCAACTACCTCGTAAGACAGGGCTCTGGAACGGGCTAATTCCATATGCAAAAGCTTTTGGAAGCAAGTATTCGATATTGCAAAATATTGTTGGTTGCTTGCTTCCTTTCAGAATGCAGCTACATTAAGCTCAGTGTGCATCCCGCATATGCATATGGGTCATTCCATGAAGTTCGGGCATAGTTTGTGACGGCATCCCTTGTTACATCAGTGAAAATAAACATCTTTTTTCCCTGCATGTGGATTCTAAATTGACATTGTTCTAAATCTTGCTAGATTCTTGTAGTGGTGTGCTTCATCTTTGCTGAATAATATGAATTAATCTGTTGTAATGTGAAAATAAAGGGCAATAAAAGTTACCGATGTAAGAAGGGACGCCGTCACAAACTGTGCCTGAACTTCATGGAATGACCCATGTGGAATAGTTGAATCATGTTATTGTCGAAACAAATTCTATCTAGTCAGATCTCAAAGAAATTATACTGTGCAGTTTCCTGAACTTGGCCATCTTAGCGCCCCACAAGGGCACCTGTCAGGACTTCTTAAGTCTGCCAAAATTTGGTACTGTCAACTGAAACAATAGCTTCTTTCTTTCTTCTCGTTCAGACATCAAGACCCGTTCTAATAAATGCCATGGGAACCCTGCAGAGCAGGAGTGCTTGGGATGTTGCCGTTATGGCTCAAAATTTTTGCCTTTGCAATTCTTTTACGCTCTTCAGTGAGTTTTTGAATCAACAGACCACAGCGACAGTTTCCCTAATCGTCCAGAATCAACAAGTTAGAAATAGGAGCAAGAGGCATGGGATGTGTATTTTAAGGGACTTCAAGGAAAGTAGCCCCTTAAAACGGCTCTGAAGATTTTTCCAAATGTTTCGGTACAAATCTACACAGTGTACAGTGCCTCGATATAGCATTGTCTCTTCGTCTTCTGCAGATATCCAGCCCTTACTGAATCAGTTAGATCGCCTGGGCTTGAAAGTCAGCAACATTCCGGATATGAGTAACCTCAGCTCAGTGGCCCCGCACAGCATGGCCACCATAGTCAATAGCCTAGGACCACCGGTGAGTTAGTTAGAGCGGCCGCATTCCCAGCATTTCATCGCCACGTTATTTCAATAGCTTTTGTGGTATCGTCTCAATAGCCATTCAGCACTGACAATTTGCATCCAGAATCGTGGATGTTGTATCCTGTTGCAGGTTTTATTTCCTGCCTTTGTTTTTTGTTAAGGTCTTCTTTTAAAATTGCAACTGTGTGAACCATTCTTTTGAAGTCCTCGAATATTTTTTGTTTAGAATTTCTTTTACCTTTATGAAACTCAATTTTGAAAAGTCATCAGTTCACCAAGATCACTGGCAAGGTCCAGTTACTTCTGGCTGAGGAAAAATGAGTATTTATTCGCAATTTGAAAACTGTCTGGCTTATTTTTTTTCTGTATGACAAGTTTGCATTTCAAACAAATTTCCCATTCTAACGGTACTCTTAGCGTATCTAATGATTCTGGCAAGCCTCACACAAGTTACCACAAGTTTTTTTGGTACGGAAGCAGTGTTCTTTTTGTGAGAATTTAAACTTGGCATGTTGTTAATCGGACTTTACTCTTGAGGGTGTAGGTCACATGCCATTGCCTTATTGAGGTAAAATGCCTTGCTCGCGGAAATCTAAGACTGTTTGTTTTCAAATAATTCAGTATTCCATATTCAAAACTGCTTTTGACCAAATATTTGAAACTTGATCATTTTACACCCCCCCCATTTCAATCACTCAGCACCAGTCAAAAGGTACTGGCCAGCATTACAGGTGTTTTGCATGCGATAATCGATACTGCAGACTAAGTGATCGCTCCGAACATGTCGCCTTCAAAGTCGCATGGATACAATGAAGCTGCCTGAACTCTTCGAACCAAAAATTGCCAAACCAAACCAGACCGGTCGGTTCAAATGTTCGGCTTTAATATGGGATGATATTTTTACTCGAATATTTGAACCGGCAGTTTGCTATTCGAATAATCGATTGATGATCGAAAATGTGAATAATCAATATATTTGAAACAGCCCTCATGACATCAACTCTAATTAGTTTGTTAATTTATAACTTCCAGGGTGATTTCCTGGCTCTGTACAATGACACTGCCCAGCATTCCCTGCCCATCCTGTTGAGTGTCCTTGGCAATGTCCTGGTCGCCTTGGAGACACCGACAGAGACTCTCTTGAACCTGACGTTCGCCAACCACCCGCTGCCGTCCCGTGCCATGAGCTACTCCTTCAACTCTGGGTTCTTCCTGGTTCTCTTCTTGGCCATGGCCATTTGTTTTGTTCCCATAGGTTACTGTACCAACATTGTCAAAGAGAGACAGGTGTGTCAAAGCTATTTCCAATTTTTTTGTTAAAGGGAGAAAATGTACTGTTTTGGTATCAACCACTTGCTGCCGGGGAACCCCATTTCGAGCACCATGGGTTTATACGCAGAGCCGGGGTGCCCGAAATGGGACAAAAGAGCTGGTCTGTGTAACGTACTTGGAACAAAAGACCTGCTGCTAGGAATTGCCATCATTTTTCGAAGGTAATCAGTCTCTGTTTTTAAACAGTATACCACTGTTTTGGGCAAAGTGCGCCCGCGGATTTACACTGTGGATAAAAAAGCTCCAGGGCCCCAGTGATGAGCGACACAGCACCACTGCGTGCTAATCCAGCCGCGTTTGAAAAGACGCCACTCGCATTCACTGGGGACAAAGGAAATTACGCAACACCTCACAATTCTGGGCTCTCTTTACAGGGCAGCAGGCCTGGCCGAAATATTCAGGAGTCAATGAAGGTTACCTGTCTGCTTAGAGTAGCCACCAAATAGTCATTCGTGTCGGTGTAAACATCCATTAAATGAAATGATGAATTTTGAAGAATTTTGAAAAATGAAGTCTTGAAAATCACAGGTATGTGTGCACTGCATTTTTAAAAGCACCCGGCAGCATGTGGTTAACCAAGATTCAGCATGGTGTTTTTCAGAAGAAAGCTTCATTATTTCACTCGTATGTGGAGTCAGAAACTTGTTCGTTCTTGGAGCTCAAAGTTTGAAATATGGAGAAACTTTTAATATCTCAACCACTCAGTTCATGAAAGCCATGTATGGTGGTGTAGTGAGGAATACCAGTTATTGACTCTTTGTTTCCTTGTGTCGGTGACCTGAAGCCGGTCTAAAGCACTCCTGGGCTCTTTCCACTCTAAACAGTCTTTGTTCCTCATGTATTTCTTCACTATTGTTGATGACATTTTAGAAACTTTCCCTCAGATTCCCTCACTTGTAGTCAAAAGTTTTCTTTTTTTGTTATGCCCTCCCGGACCCTAGGTCAAAGGTCAGGGTCATTACGGTTTTAACAATGGAAATTTTTTTCCCACCATAACTTGAGAAGGGCTTTGTGTAGCAATTTTTAACTTTGTGAGTGGATCTTGGTGTTCCTTCAATTTTTAGACTACATAGGTTTAGTGTCAAGGTATCGTTAAAACAAAGTTTGTGGTTTTCCTGATGGAGACGATTTTCATGGGTTTGGGAATGGACTTGACAGGGCATGTGCATTTGTCAACACATCATTCTCGTTTTTATATTTCTTCTTGTCCTTCAAACAGGAGAAAGTGCGGACCCAGCTGAGGGTTTCGGGGGTGAAAGCGAGCAACTACTGGTGTTCCCACCTCCTGATCGACACGGTCCAGGTCTACTTCATCACCGTGGTGGCTGCCATCATCATTCTCATCATCAGCGCTGCCACCGGTGGGTCCTCGCTGGCCACTGGCGGCGGCATGTTTATGTTCTTCATCTTCATGATCATCTATTCACCGCTGTTGGTGCTGTTCAGCTACTGCGTGGCCTTCCTCTTTGATGACTACAAGACGTGCCAATCAGCCTCGCAGTTAATCTTCTTCTATGTGAGTTGCGGTCAGGTTGCTGTTTCTTATTAAACCAGAAAGGAGCCTGAGGAATCACAGTCCTCCAATACCTGTACATTTTCGCCAAGACTGGTGAAGTTGATTTTTGTTTATCTTGCTAAGCCTTCACAACATATTTGAGTTATATCTTGTGGCCATTTTGACCTCAATTTTATAGAAATCAGACGTTACCGTCTCTTGAAATGCCGGTTTTCCAAGATAAGTCGGCCAAAACTGTTAATTTTTTCCACTGGCGTGCACACTACACACAGGTGGCTGTGAGTGAGCATGTGAGATAGAAACGACCATAAAAACAAACCCCATGTTGGAATACAGGCAATTCATAATAGTGAGCCACCAAGAGTTTGCAACGCATTCGCCAATCACAACGCGCACAATCTGTCTACCCTTTCCAAATGTGCATTGGGTCGACAGATTTCGCGCATTGTATTTGGCCAACCGTTACAAACTCTTGGTGCCGCACTATTGTGAAAACGGCCGTATTGAATGGAAAACTTCATAGTTTATTATGAAGGTCACGTGTGCATGGCAAGTTTCAAAACAGCCAAGTTCTTTTGACCGCATCTCCATCCCCTCGATGGCTGAAAAAGAAGTCAAGCTCACTGTGGGGGATGAACAGTGGGGATTTTTTTTCCCAAGTTGCCTGGTATACGGTACCAGTGACAACATGGGGTCTGACTGTACTGTATTTCCACATTCCTTGATCATTGTAGAGAAATATTATACATGGCTTGTGGCAGCTTATGGCTGTTGCCATTGGCATGTGTGTTAGTGTGAGCCCCAGCCAAGAAATTTTGAAGTGGACTAAGATAACCATGCAACTCTCATGCAGACATGACTTGGAAGCGAGTGTGTACTAGTCACATGCAAAGCACTCAGTCAGGGAATATGACCAAATTAGGTTGGTGCTCAAACTGTCAGACAGCACAAGCAGAGTACAGGGTACCAAACCGGGAATCCCACCCAAAATAGCCTGTAACAACTGGCCTCGTTATTGTGAATTGGCCAAAATCTGACCCTTGAGCAAGTAAACACTGTGAATTTGACCACTGTTGTTGATTTTGTTTTTTGTTTTTCTTTTCCCAAGGGTGCAATCATTCTAGCTGTTCCTACCCTCGTTCTTGATTTCTCGGCTTACAATATTCCTGCAGCGGCCATACATTTGGTGTTCTCCATCCTCTTCCCTCCGTACACCATTTTCGGATTTCTGTACTACATTGATAAGGTAAAGGAGCGGTCAGTTCAGGCAGCGTTGTAGCTCAGACTGTCACAAGACCAGACACAAGACCAGTCAAAAGACTAGTCGCTAGCAACGGGGTGAACGTCGGCAAAGAAATACTTTTGCTGCAGTTTATTCGGATGGCTTGTGGCTTGCATTCAGACTTGTGATCTTGTGTTGGTCTTGCAATGGTTTTGTGATGGTTTTGTGCGGTCTTGTCAATACAGAGTAATGGGTGCTATGTATTGGGCCCTCCTGTCTGCTTACTCAAAGGCACTGAGCCAACATCATGTCTGAGTGAAGCTTAGGACATAATTTAAATGGACAGTCAAATACCATACATCCCAATATATTCGTCTCCAAGCCAGAAACTTGCAGTTAAACATGTTTAAGTTTGATCAACAACTGTTTATCAACCACTGGTAGATTTTTATAACCCCTGCATTAATCCATCCCTGCCGCCAGAGAGAATTGACCATCCCTTGGCTAACAGCCTCCTGTCCAACATGGCATGTATCTCAAATCAGCTGATATAAATGGTTTTCCTCGTTTAGATGAGCTTCATGATTGTACTAGTCGCAGTTTAGTTTGGCTTGCTGTTTTGCTTTTTGAGGTGCTCTTCACCATGCGGTCAGTTTAGACGTTTGACCGAAGGAGCTACATTAAAATTATGTGGTACTACATGCATTTTTTATGAAGTTTTATTTCTTTGGTTACTCGTGATATTGAAGTAACCTAGGAGACAGGCATGGTAATTACGTGATCAAATACACTCTCTCCTGCGCATTAATGTTTACATTTTTTTTTATTGTAATCTACACAGGTATACCAAGTTGCAGTTTTCTCGCAGACGTTGGATGAGCTAAGCTTTGGAGACTACTTCAATTTTGACACGCTCATTGTGCCAACTTTATTCTGCGTGAGTCCACATGATATGTGCAGCCAATTAATGATCACTTCCCAATCTTTGTCATGCCCCGCCAATGAAGTTGAAGGGGAATGCTGTTTCTGCCTTGTCCTTTTGTTTGTTGGTGTGAGTTTGTTTCTGCATTCAATTGGGGACACTGAACGATAGAGGACATTAGGGTCCCCGATTGACTGAGGGTCCCCGATTGACAACTGTGTACAAGACATATGGGTGGTCTTGTAAAAAAGTACAAACAAAAGAGGAACAATAGGGGGTCCCCAGTTGCAGGCAAATACACACTTGGGTGTGTGTGTGTGCAGGCGTGTTATACATGTACATAGTGTGGACCTCTGTACAAAAGAAGCCCACATAATATAGGGTGCAGTGACATAGTGTGGACTCGCACATGTCCACACAATGTTTCACCTTCTCTGAAAAACAGTTTCAGATGCATTTTGAGGTCAAGGTTATCCGTGGCAAAATGAAGAGGAACAGTCCAGGGAATCATCATCAAAAATCCAGCTCAAAGGAGTTATCCTTGTGGGAGAAAAAGGAACATTTTCCTCAAGTTTCCTTAACCACAGGAGAACAAAGGAAAGTCTACACTTTGTATGTAAAACAGATATCTGGTGCGTAAGTTTGTGACTGGAATATTCTTGTCATCGTGATAGATTGAGAATTACTTTGTGTATGAACTTCAGATAAGGTTTAGGGATTGCACTTTGATTATCCCAGAAAGCCTATTGCATTTGGGGGCCAAACTGTAGTGTCGAGTGTGAAGGTCACAGTTGCAAAAATAGTCAATTCAATTCTTGTTTGTGAGCCAAAAATTGAAGTTGAGGGTTTAGGCGTTTGCTTGGCAGGGCAGTTTTGTGTCTTAATAATTCATTCTGGTTTTTGGGTTTTTTTTTCTTTTTGTTTTTTCAAATATTCGTGATGACAAACTTGCTTTCACACGTGAGACTTTCAAGCTGTGTGGTGCCAGTATTTGTTAACACAGCCCTGTTGCACAGATGATTCCATTGAGCTGCAATGTGGAAGAAACTTGGATTTGATGTTTTAAGTTGAACGTTGTCAGATGTTCCTCCCTGAGCCCCCCCCAAAATCAAAAAGGCCGTACAGGGTTAATTGTAAGAAACTCCAAACTATTCCCCGACCCCATGAAAGATTCGCAAGGCACAAAACATTTTCCCTTCCTTCAACAGAATTGGATACTGAATCCACCCTTGAGTGCGCACGCCAAGCTAGCGTCGTATTCTGACTTACCCCCCCCCCATGAAGGATGATGGTTCAGATTTAATCCCTCGGATTTCAGCTAGGTGTAGCTTCTGCGATTTATATCTGCCTTGGCCTTGACTCTTTTTTTTTGGCAGTTGCTCGTGTCTCATGTGTGCATATTCTTCCTTCTGCGATTCTTGGAGATCCAGTCCACGGGAGGCAATCTCAAGGACACCTTTTTCTTCAGGTACGCATCCCTGGTAACACCTTTGCAATCTGACAATGAAAGGAGGTGAAGACTTAAGTGTTCAAGTTCAAGTGGGAGTAAGTTTGCAGCTGCATTGTGTGGCATTTGTCTTGGGTGAGTCGTTGAGGCGATATTTTACACTGTTTGGTTCTGTTAGAACCAAGCTATCTCACAGAAGAGATTTGTCACATGGAGCGACCAGAAATGTACTCATAATGCAACAATTTTGGCTCTTTCAAAATACACATCGGTACATTCTACTAAAGGTATACTGATGTGCTCTGATTGCAAATCTGACTTTGTCCCAGATCGTGACAGATGTCGACTTACCTTGTCTTAATTTAACCCATAATTGTACAGAATCTAAAGCCTGCGAGCTTTGACTATGTCTTGTAAGAAATTTGTTCGTATTCTCACCGGAAAAAAATAGTTGTCGGGCGCTGGATTTATCTTAGGTAATATTTAAGAGTTCATTTAGTGTTCTGACATTAAGGGTGGGAATTTACATTTAATTTGAAAAACATTCAGAAAACTTTCAAACACATTTTAAACATTTAAACGTGTAAATGTCCTACCTTTACCATGATGTCATTGAAAACTTTAAACACAACAAATTGTATACAATTATAATAGTTAACACAAAGTTTCGGTGATGAATTCATGGTATTCATTTGATATGACGGAGCAGTAAAGTGTTCCGAAAATCCGATTATATTTTTCAGGCATCGTTTACAATCAAAATGAAACAAGATTTTGTCAATCAAAATGACAAACCTCTAAAGGGGCGGTTCGGTTTAAATGTTTGCAAAAATGTGTAAACGGATATGAAACTTTTTTGTTTAAACGTGCAAATGTCCAACCCTTATCTGACATCATGAGACGAAAAAATGCCCGTCAAAATTGACGTTCAAGGTTTTAAGGCTTGTAATACAAGGCGGAGGGCACAAACATTTGTCACAAACGGCACGAGTCCTCGTCCAAAATTTTCCCATGATTTTTCTTTGCTACCTGTACAGCGAAGGGAAAGTTGGGCATGTGATTGCAAACAGTGACCACATCCCTGACGAAGACAGCGACGTCAGGTCGGAGCGAGAGAAAGTGGAGGGCATGTTCAACCAAGGTCATCATCCTGAGGTGAGTCAGTGAATCAGCACACTCATTTGCACACAGCTGTTTTTGTTCACCATAACATTACCAGTGCACCAGCACTGTTTATGTACAGGAAATGTGGAAAGGTACATGTAATAACCTTTTGAAATGAAGGGCGGGTACTTGGACACAACTTTTAAAAACCCCAAAGTTTATAGAAAAAGGAAAAGAATATGTAAAAAATGAAATGAAATTGCCAACACCGTCCCATCAGCAATCTTTAGATGTAAACGTGAATCTCTTTCAGCATTCCATGAAGCATGGATTTTATTTTCAAATTTTCTGTTCAAACCCTTTTACAGTCTTTCTTTTTCTTCCTTTGCAAAGTTACCAAGGAATTTGTAAATTTGATTGTGGACATCCGGCTCTCAAATTTTACAAATCTCCTGATATCAACAGTTGAGTAGTCAGGCACTTGGTTCCCATATATACAGTCCTACAACCTGCCTTCAATAGGCCCCTTGCAGACCTGTGGTTCTTGGTAATGGTTCCTCAAACATGGCAAGGAACCACTGAAAAATGTGAAGCTT